TATACAATACAATTCCCTTCATTTGAACAGATTGGAGGAATGGGTGTGGGGTAGGCTGCCTCCAGGAACATTCAGATAGCAGTCACTGGTGCAAACAGGCCTGTTTACACAGGGTTATGCACAGGGCTGCAGCAGACCATCCCATGACACTGATAATAGTGGTGGTTGAGAAGAAACTCTAGAACATCTAAGAAAGCCTCAAGTTTCTTGGAAGCAGTAAGCGGGATGCACAGAGAAAAGAAGGAACTGCAGCACCACAGATGGCCCTGAGCTGACCATGCTGTCCCATTGTTTTCGTAGTAGGGCACCTACTTTTCATGCAAGAAGTCTCTGGTTCAATCCCTGGCATCTGTAGGTAGATCTGGAAAATATCTTTGTCTGAGCCCCTGGAGAACTGCTGCCACTCAGTGTCAACAATGCTGAACCACATGGGCCAGTGGCCTCCTGTGTTGTACCTCCCCACCCGACGCATTATGAATTGTGGTAGTCAGAGTGGCTTCCACATTTTGCTCTAGGCACCTTCAAGAAAGTACTGCATTGATGGGCCTCTCGTGCACATGGCAAAACCTTCAATGCACTGAAGAGCCTGGTTAAAACAACAACACTGTACTGGAGGGCCACCAGACTTGAAAAGTGGGGATCTTTTGCAATGTGGAGCCATAATGGGGCTGCACTGCGTACTTGATGGCCTCTGCTGTGAAAATCGGTAGGCAAAAACACTGCTCCCTACTGAATTACTTATGATAAGGTGTGCGCTAGCATCTTAGAGCCGCCCTCCAGAGGGTTGCTAGGATGCTGCCCCATGTGTGTGGCCTCTAAAACAGATTTTAAAAATTTGTTTGAAGTGACCCCTTTTCTGTGGAGTGCTGTCAGACATGTTGAGCTTGGGTGCCTACAAGGGCTCAGTGAAATTTCAGGCCTGTTCTAGACCCTTGGATAATGACTGTAGCTCAGTGGGAGGTAGCCATGAATGGTTGCTCTGACATTAAAGCATTGTCTATCACAGGCATAGGCAAACTCGGCCCTCCAGATGTTTTGAGACTAGCTAACAGGACCAGTGGTCAGTGATGATGGGAATTGTAGTCCCAAAACATCTGGAGGGCTGAGTTTGCCTATGCCTGGTCTATCAAGCCATTTTGATCAGGTTGTATGGATGGGGCAGTTTTCTTTCTACACTTTGTTTTTTTCCAATTGGAGCAATACAGGATTCATGGAATTGCAGTCATAAGTAAAGGTAAAGGTACCCCTGCCCGTACGGGCCAGTCTTGACAGACTCTAGGGTTGTGTGCCCATCTCACTCAAGAGGCCGGGGGCCAGCGCTGTCCGGAGACACTTCCGGGTCACGTGGCCAGCGTGACATCGCTGCTCTGGCGAGCCAGAGCCGCACACGGAACGCCGTTTACCTTCCCGCTAGTAAGCGGTCCCTATTTATCTACTTGTACCCGGGGGTGCTTTCGAACTGCTAGGTTGGCAGGCGCTGGGACCGAACAACGGGAGCGCACCCCGCCGCGGGGATTCGAACCGCCAACCTTTCGATCGGCAAGCCCTAGGCGCTGAGGCTTTTACCCATACCTCGGGTTAAATGTGCTTCAGGTTGAGCGTTTTCAGGTTATGCTCCGCAGCGACCCAGAAGTAACGGAGCGTGTTACTTCCGGGTTTTGCCGCTCACTCATGTGCAGTCGCTCAAAATGACGTCACACGCATGCGCGGAAGTGGCGAATCGTGACCTGCGCACGTGCAGACACGGGTTGCTTTCGCTTCAGGATGTGAACGGGGCTCCGGAACAGATCCTGTTCGCATCCAGAAGTACCAATGTAGTATTTTCTAATGGAGATCAACAGTTGCCAACAGAGCCAGTGTGGTGTAGTGGTTAAGAGCGGTAGTCACGTAATCTGGGTAACCGGGTTCGCGTCTCTGCTCCTCCACATGCAGCTGCTGGGTGACCTTGGGCCAGTCACACTTCTCTGAAGTCTCTCAGTCTCACTCACCTCACAGAGTGTTTGTTGTGGGGGAGGAAGGGAAAGGAGAATGTTAGCCGCTTTGAGACTCCTGAAGGGGAGTGAAAGGCGGGATATCAAATCCAAACTCTTCTTCTTCTTCTTCTTGCCTTCCAATGAAAACAAAATCTGCCTGTGAACTTGATTGGGAATGGTCAGCCCTGCTCAGCTTTTGAGCCAGAAGCTATCACTCCCCCCTTCCTCTCTGCCCATCCTGCCCACCCACTTTACTGAACTTAATGCTAATCAGTACACACACACACACACACACACACACACACACACACACAGCAGAGCTGCATTGGCTGCCAGAACAAAATAGCCAAGGATTCTGCCATGATTAGCCAAAATCTGACATTGAGTAACGGTCCATTAGAAACAGCTGCCTTTCCTCAGAACGTTGTCCTCAATGACCTTGGCATTTTGCAGTGTTACATGGGAAGCATTACTTATTTTATTGCCATTTATATCCCCTTAAAAATGGCAAAATCAACATAGCAGATTGCTAAACCAGCAATGGCAAAGAGCTGAAACAGTTACCATAAAGCCTAATATTGTCATAAGGTTTGTTTCCAAAGAACAAATGTTGGAACACAGCTTGGACCCCATTGCCTCCCCTGGCCTATAAAATAGGGTTCAGGAATGGATTTGGGACTGCTGCTTTCAGTTCTCTGTTAGGATTGCCAAGCCCAGACTTTTGAGATGCCTCTTTTCCTTTAAAATGAATGTAAAAAGGAGAATTCGAATGAGTATGGGATTTGTTCCACCATAGTGATGTATTATTATTATTAGTAATAATAATAATAATAATAGTATTGATATTATTAATTTCCTGCCTTCACCCTAAAGTCCCAGGGTGGGCTACAATTAAAACACAATGTTAGAAACAGTGTAAATCAACTTGCACTCATAGAAACAAGGTGGGTCCTAAAAATATACATCTCAGGCGTCAAAAGCCAGGGTAAAGAGGTGCCTCTTCAGCATTCACCAAAAGTTGTATAATGAAGACAGCAGATATGCCTCTGTGGGGGCAGAGGTCCACAGTTTAGGGGCGGCCACTGAGAATGTCTTCTCTTGGGCTGCTACACACCCCATAAACCTCTGGAACAACTAAGAGGGACCCTCTGCTGATCTTAACTCCCAGGGGTTCTGTAGAGAAGGTCATCTGCACCTGGTATAAATTTACCCCATGATGCCTCTTTATGTTCCAGTTTAACACTCACATCTTAGATGGCTAAGCTCCTGTTGCAAGGACATTAGCCTGTGCATCTCCTTGCTGAGATGGAGGCAAAAACTGTTCTTTAGAAACACAGGAAGCTGCCTTATACCTGCGCATCTGGTCCAGCATTGCCTATTTATTCTGCCTGTCAACGGCGTTGAAGGGTCACTGACAGAGATCTTCTTTGCGTTACCTTTTACCTGATCCTTTTAAACTGCAGATACCAAGGACTGAATTTGAGTCTTTCTGCGCACAGAACACATGCTTCCACTGTGCTTTGGAGCCTTCTCCCTTTGTCACTCTGTTTCCTCGTCACACCTGATGCCATGCTCATTCTGTTCATTTGACTTTTTTTAAAAAAAGTATGCAATTACGTGAGGCTTGTGTCATGGCGATTGTTTCCATGTAAACAGAAATAAGTGAGTGCTGGGCAACAGAAGCACAATGTGTGATTGATGTGTTTAGAGCAAACAGAATGCAGATACTGCTCACAGGGTGTTTTGACGCAAACCTCTGGTCTTCTGAGCCTTGGGTATGACAGCTATTTCTCACTCCACAGCTCAGATATCTAGAATAACACGCATCTCAATACTTGCAGTTCCACCAGCCCCCTCGTCCCAGCCACTGGGGCTTCCTGCTAGCTAAAAAAGGAGCTGTGCGAAGCAGCATGGGTGGGTATCTTACCAAATAACAATGGTGCCAGCAGTTCAAATCCCTAGTTAGGATTCCAGGCTCTTGCCCAGAATTGCTAACTAGCTAATGTCAATGCCAAATCTTACTATTTTATATGTATAATGTGTTGGTTTATTTATAACCCACTTCTTTCTCTGTGTAGGTCAGGGTTGCCACCTGTGTGCCCACAGGTTCCATGGTGCCCAGGAAGGCTTTCACTGGTGCCCCTGGGCAGGTGACCAATACTCTGAGCTTTCAGGAAAATAATAACTAAGTCTCTTGCCCTCCCAGAAAGAAAGTTGTGAGATAAAAAGTGCAAATACTTTCTGAGCAATTTTTGTGAAATGAGAGTCAGTGTAGTGTGGTGACCTTGTGTATTTTCCTGATACAGTGGTACCTCGGGTTAAGTACTTAATTCATTCCGGAGGTCCGTTCTTAACCTAAAACTGTTCTTAACCTGAAGCACCACTTTAGCTAATGGGGCCTCCTGCTGCCGCCGCGCCGCCGGAGCATGATTTCTGTTCTCATCCTGAAGCAAAGTTCTTAACCTGAAGCACTATTTCTGGGTTAGTGGAGTCTGTAACCTGAAGCGTATGTAACCTGAAGCGTATGTAACCTGAGGTACCACTGTACTGAGGAATGCCCTCTGTTGCTTTTAGACAGCGACAGCCTCAGTGTGGGTTTCTCTCTCTCTTTCTGTGTGCGTCTAAGTATTGTGTGATTTCCATAGCCATGACCAGCAGAACATAGCTGTCTTCCCATGGTAAGCATAAGGTTGTCCGGGCTGGTTGACTCTTGAATTTTATATTATGCTACGTTCCATCCCTGGAGTAGCCATTTTATGACTGGCGCTCCCAGCACTCTCTAAACTTTCAAAATGTGCCCACTAGTCCAAAAAGGTTGGTGACCTATAGATGGTTCTCTTCCTCCCACTTTCTCCTAATAATAACAACCCTGTGAGGTAGGATGGGCTGGGAGAGAGAGTGACTGCTCCAGAAACAATCAGTGAGTTGTTGTGGCAGGGATTTGAACCTGGGCCTCTCCGATCACTATGTCACACTACCTCTCAGTAAAAAACTGAAACTATACCAGCATTTCACTTCCTTCTGCAGGTTCTACTCTCCTGGCTGAGCGACTGGGCCCCTCTGCACCCAGCTCACCCACCTCATCTCCAAACTCTCCCTCCGTCCTCTGCAGTGGCATTTCTGATCCCATCCTGAGTACATGTGGATCTGGCCCACTTGGCAGCTCACTCAGTGGTAAGTACTTCTACAGAACTAAACTATACCCCTTCCAGCCTCAATTACTGCATCTCGTCAGAACCCTTCCTAAATTCATTTTCCTTTCCTGCCCCAAGAAGTGCAGGAGCTGCACTTTGGGGCAGGCTTCAATCTCTGCTCATTTGCCATTGCAAAATTCCTCTCCTTTTTTCTTTTCTGATTTTAGATTTTATAATGGTGCTGTATTGGTGATATTATGTTGTTCTAATATAATTTTGTAAGCTTCTGAGAAAGCTGTTCAACAGTGGAATGGATTCTCTCAGGTGGTGGTGGACTCTCCTTCCTTGGAAGTTTTTAAGCAGAGGTTGGATGGCCATCTGTCGTGGATGCTTTAGTTGAGACACAAATCTAGATGCAAGCCATGTTGGTTCTTCCTCCACAGTTGGCAGCAGTAATGTTTCTGGAATACCAGTTGTGGGAAACTGCAGGAAGGAAGGGTGACCTTGTGTTCGGGTCCTGCTTGCAGGTTTCCCACAGGCATCTGGGTGGCCACCGTGAGAACAGGATGCTGGACTGATCCAGGAGGCTTTTCTTATGTCTGTACTTGAATTTTGATGAGTGGACCCCAATGATCAGACACACTGCCTGCCGCTGTTTATCCCTTGCACATAAACAAGGCCTGACTTACACTAAGCTTGTGCTTAGGCTTTCGTGCACTCGGGACACTGGCAAGCAGGTGTTTGGATTGTGTGAAGCCCTATAAATGTGCAGCTGCTTCTTCCTTGCAGACAACTACACCAACCACATTGACATCTGTAAGTAGGGCTGGGCCACATGCCCAAGGCCAGAGGCAGGTCCGGAGCCTGTTTCTACTCCTCTGCAGGCGCAGGATGATACTTTCACACAGATAATGGATGTAGGGGGCTTTAGAAGTGGCCTTGTGGCAAATTATTGTTCTCTAGAAATTTATCAATGCCCAGTGTTCATCACTTTGCAGAGATACCCTCCACCCCAACAGACCAATGAGACAGTTGTGTGGAGATGCAGTTTTGTACTTCTGTTCTTACAGACACGGACAGAGAACCAAATTCACTTATGGGAGAAAAGTAACACTTCTGCTATTGCATGTTTGTGTGCAGGTCACACATTCAAATCCAATTTATATGCCCAACAAACCCCCAGACTCTGAGACTAGACTATATTGCACTAATTTGTGTACACCTCTTTCTTTGGCACAAATGGATTTTGCTGCCAATATCCAAGCCAACGGTGACTTTGGAATATATTTGACGCTGACCGAGAGGTGGATGGATGAAAAGACTACAGGAGCCAGGGAAATGTACTAGCAGTAGGGCGAGGATGCCACGTTCTGAAGTCCTTATTGCGCTTCTGTACTGGTATTCCAGCATCCTGTCGAGTCGTGGCTGGCCATCACATTTTAGTAGAAACTGCAAGGGGGGGAGGGATAATCTTGACCTCTGCAGGAAATTGAGTACATTGAGTGACATATTGGAACCCATGAATGGTCCATCTGGCACAGTACTGGCCATCCTGATAGTGGTCAGACAGATGCATCTGGGAGTTACAGAATTGGGGTGTGGGGTGATGTTCTCTCATTGTCAACCTCTAGAATATGATATGTTGGACCAGCAATCTTGTTTTTGATATCCCTGGGTAGAGATGACGACGTATAAAAAGAGTGACAGCATTTCTTGTATTGCAGGCACAGCTCCAAACTCTCCCGTCAGCATGCCAGAGTCCCCCCTTTCCCCCTCCATCTCAGGGTCCTGGAATGACGAGTGCACCATCTGCTATGAGAACATGGTGGATACCGTGATTTACTCCTGTGGACATATGTGTCTGTGCTACACCTGCGGGCTCAAACTCAAGAAGATGGCCAATGCCTGTTGTCCTATCTGCAGACGTGCCATCAAGGACATCATCAAGACCTATCGCAGCACCTAGAGCAGCATGGCAGGAAAAGGGTAGGGGCAGCAGGGGACATGCTCTCTTATGACAACTCAACAGAACAGGGTGGGGAGGGGCTGTCCAGCTTGCCAAAATTCCCATCCTTCCCTCTGCAACTAACTCTGAATGTTGCTACATGTGGGCAAATCCCAGAAATTTGAGGTCTAAACATTTCCTTCCTTCCTTGGCATCTAGCAGAGAGCTACTGACAACAATCTGATGTGCATCCGTCAAGAAAGGTTGAATTGCATTCCTCCTCTCTCCCTAGCTCTGGCTCCATTCACCCACCTTCCTGCAAGGATCAAATGATGCAGAATAATCAGATTTTCTTGGGTATGTTAGCAGTTTCATTATGTGAATGAATTCAACCTTTTGGACGTTTAAGTGGAGTAGAAAAAGAACAAGCCATGTGAGCACAAAACCACTTGCCAGAGCAAGAGGGATGGCCTCCCCCCATAGAAATATCTCTTGCAAGTGTCTATTCCGATGGGCTGGAACTGCCTCTGCCAGCTTTCCTAGTGGCCACAAATGCACATCAGTGGCAGCTAGATCCCAAGCGAATGTGGTGTATGCTGGTGCTAAGGAAGGTGATCTTTGGGTGCTTCTTCTTGTACTGTGCTGAACACGAGAGTCTCACTGTTAACTGACAGCCTTCAAGTTCTACTTTCTATAAATGCTCTCTTCCTTTCCACTCCAGTCTGTTCACCCCGCCCTTGGAAGCAGCTGCTGATAGTGCTACAGCATGACACTGCATCCTTTATGAGCATTTCCCCCTGCTGCTTTCCCAAACCCACTGGTTTCCTTCTTCTTTTTAAAGCATTGCAGCAGGAGGCTTTTTCAATGGCCAACAGGGGTGCCTTCACACCTGTTTTCTGCAAATGATGGAGTGCATTTTAGAAGCCATAAGGAAGAAGGCACACAAAGGCCTTTTATCAGGACACTGAACATCTGTCTCTGCTTTTAAGGAAAGTAAAAGCATCGGTAATTTAATAACCTTTGGCCAAGCTGAATGTGTGACACAGAGCTGCATCTATTTTGTTATCATGAAAAAAGAGAGACCTGAAGCAGTTTGTCTTAGTTTTTAAAAAAGGTTTATTTGGTTTTATGAAGGATTTTTAAAGTATTCTTCCCAACATGTGAAGGACAATTGTTTTGGCCTTTCTTGCTCCCAGCACTGTGAATCTACCTGGCTTGACTGAATTCTTGGCGTTTCCCTCCATGCCTTGCTGCAGCTGATTGTGCTGTGATGGACAATAACAAGGCCTCATTCTTCAGCAGCTCCACTATCTTCTGTGTTCCATTTGACAAATCCCACATGCATCCAGAACTGCAGCTTATCGTCACTTGGCACCAAGTGGGCTAACTACTTCTGAAATGCCACCAAATACCCCAGCTGGGAGAAACCTGCAGCCCAGTTCATCAGCCTCAGCTCCCTAATATGAACACCAGAAACAGTTAGGTAAGGAAAGAGGTAGATTAAGAAAACATTCGGAAAGGGACAGTGGATTGCTGATGTCTGAGATTTTCATTTCCCCCAATGAAAAGTGTTTTGCTTCACCAACTTAGTGGACAGTTTTGCCCTCATCAGAGTCACGCCAGGCTAAATGTACAGGCAATTCCCATGTTGTGTGTGTGCCATTTTTCGCTGCGGGATGCAGCCCCTGTGCAAATGGAGAGTTGCCTGTATAGCATTGAGGCTGTCAATATAATGATGGCCAACTCATATCGGGAAGGCAGAAAGCCCTTTAATACAGATGTCCTTAAAAAAAACCCAAGAGGATTGTGGCACAGCATTTCTAAAAGACCCAGTTCCCTGCAATACCTAGCAGCTGCTGCCTGTAAGGAAAAAGTTAGGAGACTCTTGTTTGAAGTATACCCAGCATGGTAATATTCCTGGACTGGACTGATTCTTCTAGTACTTGCTGTCTGAGCACTTGGGAGTGCTTCAGCCTGTGCTGGACCTAGCTAATCCACAGTTTACAATAGGGATGGGGAAATTGTGGCTTTCTAGAGATCATTCAACTTCCATACATCCCAGTGAGCATAGCCAAGGAAAAGAAATGTTGGCAAATGTAGTACAGCATCACGTGGAGAGGCACAAGTTTCCCCATCCTTGGTTTACGGGGATCAGCACAGTGGCTGCTGAACCACCTCATTGACACCTGCCTCATGCAGGTGTGGTCCAAAGAATATAGATAACTGGTTTTCCCCCATCAAGGCATTCCTAGTCAACTTGTGCCTAGGACTCATGATCTGTAAAGATATTGTGATGTGCAATACTAAGCAATGGCACCTCTTGAAATTTAGTGTCCATGTTGCTGGATGTGCAGAAAATGCCTCAGTTAAAATTGCCTCTGTTTGGGCATATGACCACCTGCGCATGTGGTGTTCAAAAGAAAAGCCTGCCTGGTTTGGCCCTCCGTCCATGCTGGCTTGGTCATGTGCCACCATTGCATGAACTGGATCCAACTGCTGGAATGTTACTGCAAATGCCACTTTGAATATTTGCACACAGCCAACTCCTCACTGGCTGGGAGCCAGCAAGCACTTTGCTGTTGGTTGTCAATCTTTGTACCATGTGATAGGTTACAGGCACTTCAGAATAAAAAAAGATGCAGGTGGATTGTAGCAATCCTTTGCAGAAAGGAAAACTGACTCACCTAGTCACAAACCAAAAATAGAAGCTATAGTTCCTAAGAGTTTGCTCACTCATACTAGTCTTGGCCCACATAAATTAGCATTTTTTCCTAACCCCCCCACCCACCTTGAGGTGCTCATCTGTGCTCTCTTAACTGCACTCAAATCCCTAAACAGCTTCCCATTCCACTAGCAGCTTGCATCTGGCCCTCTGCAGTGTCAACCACTTGCAAAGAATTTTTTAAAAATGAGCACAAAGCTTCAAACTCCATAGCCATGACATAAGAGAACCAGATGTAGATGGGACAACCATATGATTTATCTCTGCCTTTGGCAAGTAAGACATGGAAAGTTAATTTATGCCCCTCAAGGCAGGAGCCCTTTCCTACTGTGGCACCATAAGATCATTTGAACCAGGATCTGACAAGACCATTCTCTCTCTCTCTCTGTGTGTGTGTGTTGTCTTCCGTTGAGTTCATTGCATCTATTCCAGTATAAGTTGTGTGAAGAGAACATCTGGTACTACCTTTCATGTCCTATAGCAGAGATGGGAACCTTTGGCCCTTTAGAAGTTGCTTAATTTCCATCAGCCACAGCCACCATGACCAGTCTGGATCAGGGAAGATCAGAATGACGGCACAGCAACATTTGAAGGCTCCCCACAGCTGCCCAATGGCCATAAGTAGAAAATTACAAACTAAGGCTGTAGTCATATGCCCACTTACTTTGGAGTTAAGTCTTTTTGCACAATCATGGCTAGAAACAGGCTGCATTCATTCTGCAAGGTTCCCATCAAATCAAGTCTCCTCCACAGCTACAGTATAAAAAGAGAGAGATAACATTTGTTTCAGCAGTTGGGGCAATACATAATATGCAGTAACATAGGGAAGAGACAGGACCAGCATTGTCTGGATATTTCACGCAAGACACATTCACCTTGATCTGGTTCTGGTTCTTTGTGATCCAGGAGCTCCTCTTCCCTGAATAGTTCCCTCCGTTATCTGAAGAGAGGAAGTAGGTCTGCATGTGTATTTCCTTCCCAATAAAAGATTTGCTGCCTCTACTCAGCTGATTGAGGCAGAGTGTAGGGACAGGAGCCCCACATGAGCAGATAAGTGAATATATATGGCTTTGGAACAAGGTATTTGTGGCTATATATCTTGCTTTCACATAGTACAGTGGTGCCTCGCAAGACGAAATTAATTCGTTCCGCAAGTTTTTTCTTTTTGCGAGTTTTTCGTCTTGCGAAGCACAGTTTCCCATAGGAATGCATTGAAAATCAATTAATGCGTTCCTATGGAAACCGCCTTCAGACCAGGTCCGGGGACAGTCTGTCCCCCGACCTCTTCTGAAGGCTGGGGGGGGGCAAGGGCTTTTCTTCCCACCCCCAGCATTTAAAAAACCCCGGGACAGCGGAGGACTTCTCCGCTGTCCGGGGCGATCTTAAAATGCTGGCGGGCGGCATTTTAAAATCGCCCGGGACAGCGGAGGACTTCTCCGCTGTCCGGGGCGATTTAAAAGCCCCTGGGAAGGCAGACGTGGGGGGGGGACAAAGACTTTCGCCCCCCCGCACGCCTTCAGAAGAGGTCCTGGACCTCTTCTGAAGGTGGCCGGGGGGGCAAAAGTCTTTGCTCCCCCCCGCCTGCCTTCAAAAGCCGTCCGCGATAGCGGGAAGCGCTTCCCTGCTATCCTGGACTGCTTTTAAAATGCTGGCGGTGGGGAGCAAAAACTTTCGGCCCCCGCCGGCCTTCCTGGACCTCTTCTGAAGGCCGGAGGGGGGAAAGGCTTTGCTCCCCACCGCCAGCATTTAAAAGAGGTCCCCGGAGATTTCCCTATGGGCTTTCTTCTTGCGAAGCAAGCCCATAGGGAAATTCGTCTTGCGAAGCAACTCCCAAACGGAAAACCCTTTCGTCTTGCGGGTTTTCCGTCTTGCGAGGCATTCGTCTTGCGGGGCACCACTGTATCTAAAATCAGAGGTGAAGCTCTGCATTGTTGCATCCACAATAGCAATGGAGATATCAAAAGGTGAATTAACGTATTTTATATTATTATTATTATGGCATATCGATAGATGAGAAGGATGGGGTAAGGGGGAGAAAGCAATTCTTTAAAAATAGAGACAGTGGGGTAGGATAGCCAAAGGCTTAAAGTACTGTAACAACACAAACATCTCCTAGGCTTGGCAGATTTTGCCAGTCAGTTTTCACATTTCCCTAGAATGTATTTTAATATGAGAAGGTGCTTTGGGAAACTTCAGCCCAGGGCTTCATATTTTAGGACACTATGCCATAGAAACTAGCAAGATGTCTTCAAATGATGAATTCATAATTAAAATGCTGTATATAGTTGATGCTGCTATTGTGCATGAGAAAAATATTGCCTCTAGAAAAGATGTTTTCTAGAAAATGCATTTAATAATATCCCTTTGGCATCACTTCTGTGGGGAGCACACTTCTTATTTTACAAACAATTGTGGCTAGTAAAATTACATGGCACACATTTCTAAACACCTAGGGGTGTGTGAGGAATAGTTTTGTTTTTCGGTTCATTGTCACTTTTAATGTTTCTTTTGTTTAATTTTCTATTTGTTTTCCCATTGCTTTCAGTGGAAGACCCAGTCAGTTTTCTGTTTTAACTTGGATGTTTTCTATCCAATTGGTATGCAATCTACTACCTCCCCAGGGCATTAGACCCACTGAATGGGTCCCCATTTTATAGGTTCTTAGAAGCATGCCGAGGCACAGGCTAGATGCTCTGTGAACTGAACACAGCTTTCACTGGTCTCTCTCTTTCCCCCTTACTGTGACATTTCTCTGAACTGTGCATAGACTCCTTCAATGCAAAAGCAATGCCTCTAAAGCAATGTAGCTGAAAACAGAGTATGAACTTTAGTTTAATTTTCATTCAAATTCCCATTTACTATAAAAACAGATGAGTAAATGAGGCTCATTTAATTTTTCATTCATGTTTCAAATGACTGCACACTCTGACCTAGTAAATTAAATGTCATTAGTTTCTGAATAGATGGGTCCTAATCCAGAAATGCACATGTTCAACAGCGGACTTCATTCACGTGCTGTTCAGGTGGGGAGCTAGAGTAATCAACTTTGTGTTCAAGCCCCGCTTTGGGCAAAAGATTCCTGCATTGCAGGAGGTTGGACTAGATGACCCTTGTGGTCTCTTCCAACTCTACAATTCTATGGTTGCCCAAATAGCCTGTTTGGAATATGAGGCCTGGATTTATTCATTCCATTTTCCCTTGTGGGAAAACAAAACCCTGAGCCTGCAGATGTCAGTCACTGGTAGAGAGGAAGTTCACATACAACTCTGAATGTAAGGCTTTTAAAAGGTGAGCCGTACTTACCATCTCCTTTTGTGCTTCTGCTGGAATGGGCTCTTGGCTGAAATGCTGTATTCCTTACAGAGTCATTCCTATGAAGCGTCAGAGTAGGGGTAAGGAACTTGTTCAGATTGCAGTGCCTGCTGCTTTATATTATCCACTTTTAAAATTAATTCTCCCCATGTTAATGGGTAGGAATATTTTGAAATCAATTAAAAAAATGCTTCCTTCATCGCAGCCTATTAAAACAAATAATGGATCCAATTTATGTCCCTAATAAAGGGTTTGCCATGACAAAGAATGGTTGTTGTTTTTTTGCCTAATCTGTTATTGATTGTGATAAACCAAAGTTAACTAAATTACATGTGTTCCTAAGGTGTTGCTAATTTGCAGGAGCTGCATTCTGAAACCATAATAATTGGACTGTGGGTGGAAGGAAATATTTTTGTTTTGACTTGAAAATATTCCCACTCATTAGCTTTTTGGCAACCAGAGAAGTTGGTTCCACTCCAGTAAGGGAAACTGGACTGAAGTGAATCAAGAGAGAACCCCACACTGTACAAGTGTCTGAAAGAGGGTGGATGTCCATGCTAAAGGGGTATATGGCTTTCTGCAAAGTTTTAATTTAAAAACAAAAGCTTTTGCCAACATGTGCTAAGAGCACATAACTAAGGTCAATCATACTCATTGCCAGAGGCAAACTGTTTCTTTTATCCAGGTAAGCCAAGGGCCCAATTCAAATCCTTACACAACAGCTGAAGAGAAAATCAATCACGTTGCTGCCAGCTTTGACTTGCTCAGGGTTGTGTCCACATGTACCTAAGCCAGCTCCTTCCACCTAAAGTGATATTCAGTACTCCCCCCTCCCCCCTTAACAGCAGCACCCTTTTGCACATGCAAATTCAAAGCTTGAAGGCCAATCTGTGCACAAAAATGTATTTGGGCATACAGAAATCTGGCTGAAGATGGAATCAAGGGAAGGAGGAGTGTGAAAGGGAGAACATTCTCCTTCCACTCAGTTAGTGTGGGGATATGTATGTATTTATTGAGGACCAAAGATGGAGGCGGCTTACAGAAGCTGAAAAAGAAGTGCAAGGCAGTTCATGCAGAAGAACATTTCAATGGGAGCATTATCACAATCGGTTTCATTTTCCTCTGTATTTTTGTGTCAGGATCCAGAATTCATGTGATACAATGTCATGGAAATGAGAATTTTATCTTTTAATTGCTTTATTTAAAAACAAATTTTGTGTTTTGTTTATATATATATATATATATATATATATATATATATATATACACACACACACACACACAATATACAAAAAGACTATTCCATTCAGTGTGAGAATTGGATAACAGTGATTGTGAATAAAGTTGATTTAGGTATGCCATGGAGGTGCTGGTGTGGGATGCTTACATTTTTTTTGGGGGGGGGGACACAATACAATGGTCAATGAGCACAGGAGTCAGTGAAGTATGTGGATCTATTTCCACTTATTGAAACAAATGCCACTAACCTAAGTGCACTTAGCTTGGAAGCTTGTCTTATTGAACACAGGAGGGCCTTTTCTGCTAGGTAAACTGTTTCAAATCATGCATGAACAAGACATTCCTTCACACAGAATGACATTTCTTAGTGAGAAACCTCTTGGTCCAAAGGGACAGGAAGTAACTGGGCAGCTACATCCCAGTTATTTTCTGTAGAAGCTCAACTGCCCTTCCACCACAAGTTCCTTGGGAATCATAGAGGTAGAAGGTGGTGTTCATGACCCAGTTTTTTATATATGCTGGAAGCCATCCAGACAACCCAGTCAGATGGGCGGGGTACAAATAAAAAATATTATTATTTGACTTCCTTCAATACCTCATGGGTAAATGGCCAGCTATTTATGGGTGAGGCATTACGGTTTTTGTGGTGGTATAATTTCCCCCTCTTCTTTGGTTAGCAGGTACTCTGCATCCTCCAGGGCAGCCTTGTTTTGGACTCCCATCAGCGCCAGTCAGTATGGCCAATGGTCAGGGCTGATGCAGTGTCACACACTAGGTTGAGCAAGCCTGCTCCAGGGTCTCAAACACATCTCCACCACCTGTGTTTATGAAAGTACTACCAGAAACCCAGCACCCTTTGTGAGTTATTTAGAACCTACCTTTCTCTCATGAAGCTCACTGCAGCATGGAGTTCCCAGGCTGGTCTTCCATCCAGGCACTGACCAGTCAGTTACAGACCTGCATAGTTTCAAGAGTTTTGCTGCATTACGTGCCTTCTGACCACACACACCCCTCAGAGTTTCTCTTGATTTAGAAAATTTACTGCTATGCTCTTATCCTACATGCTGAAATCACCAGGACTGACTGCTCTCCTTGGGATACTTTTAAGGATTGGGGTAGATTTAACTGTGCCATTTAATTTTTGCACAAACACACCCACCCACTTGACCTCTTTGAAATTCAGTGCCCTGAATGCTTCCTGGAATTAAGTGCAGCCTGTGAAAATAGCCTGACTGGGAAACCAAGCTAGCGAGAAACTGAGACTGAAACATTAGTGGTGGATCATCACCACCACCTAGTGGCTAGTTTAGTGACTGGCACCCTCTACAACCACTGAAGAGTGAAGGGCAAAGAGGTAAACTAAGGGTTGCACACACAAAAATATGTGTTGCAAGGGACACCCATAAGCATACCAGAAACCAAGGACTGTGTAAGAAGTACATATTACCCTAAAGCTTTATATTTTACAAAAAGTGCATTGTGTTTATCAGCACCTATTCAAATGAATTCACAACTGTGCACTTTTAGAGAGCACTCTTGAACTCAAGTGCCCATCACGTATTACAAATCATATTACAGTACTCACTGATGGGAGTAATCAGTAAGACACTGATGGGAGTCTTACAAATAAAGGAAGGGTTGTAGGTCAATGGTGCGGAACATGCTTTGCATGCAAAACAGAACAGGTTCAATCGCCAGCCTTTCTAGGTAGGGCTGGGAATGCCCTGTCTAGAATCTGGGAAGCCAATGGACAATGGCTTGTTTGAGCCTAAAGCAGCCTCCCCTCTTTCTACTTCTGCTCATTTCACATTCCAACCCAGAAAAGGCAATTCTTAAATCATGAGTTCTGAAGTTACCTGAATTACTTAAAAACCAGTGTGTACTGGTTTAAGGATTTCTACCTTTTCTGCTTTAATAGTTTCCTTTCCATATTTATACCTCCATGATAATTTGTTATTTCCTTACCTCCTTTAGTTTCATGGATACAGCAAGCAGCGTAAGTACTCAGCCGCTCTGAGCCCGGCCTTGGCTGGGGAGGGCGGGGTATAAATAAAAATTATTATTATTATTATTATTATTATTACTTCTTAAAAAAAAAAGATCATTGGGAATTTATTTTTGTGAGGATGCTGATCATTCTGTCCATAAGGGACCACTGTTGTCCTTGCAAGGAAGGACAAGATATGCTGTGCAGACAAGAAGCTACAGTAGAAAGCTACATACTCAGCTGTTGGCAGAAATAAAGGTTGGTTGTTGAAGCCTACACTCCAGGGACGCCAATTTTAACTGCTTTGGGGTTTCTTTTTCTTTCTTCTTCTTAAAATCATGTGGCATATTTTTTTTATGAACTACAATACAATAATGAAATACAAACTCAACAAAAAGAAACTAAGCAACAATTGGAACACAATTAAAAAGATCAAAAACTTTATTATTTTTTCATAGGACATAGAAGAGACCATGTAAACAAATGGAAATTTAAAAAGCAACAACTTACAATTTGCAAGCATTTGAAGATAAGAGTATCCTTTACCCTTCTCCAAATGTACAATGTCTGAATCCCAAAGGTATTTTGTGGGTTTTTGAAGTGCCTGATGCCCTGGGTAAGATCTTTTTAGTTTAACAGGACACTTGCATCATTGATTTAACATATACACACTCAAAACCCAACAACAATAACATAAATATAAAAATTAAAGTTCATATTATTAGCACCACCTTTGGTCCAAGCAATGAGTAAACTGGGAGATGACTGTGAGGTACAGTTAGTTATCAAGTCCTCTCTGCCTGAGACATTGAATATTATATTGTGGTTTCACATTGCAAAAACCTGGGAGTAAAACAGGCTGCAGCCTAGTCTCTCTTGGCAGTCCCTAAAACAAACATAAAAAGCCTCTGACCTAATAACTAGTATGTGTCCCCATATGAGAGTGCGCTTAGAGTGGCAATATTCCTCAATTCCCTTCCAAGTGTAAGCACTGCATAGTCCCAAGGATATCTGCTCCACAATGGCTAAGAGTGGTGAGCACAACTCTTGTTTTGTGCTGCTTCACAGGATCTGAAGAGTTGTGCCCCAGCATGTTCTGGAACATAGTAAGGGATCTTAGGAGAACACATCTCCCTTTGCATGTTGCCCACATGGTGCTTATAAAAAGCATCATTAGCCAAAGTGAAAACTTGAGCCTCAACTGTATATTGACAAGCTGTACACACTTAGAACTGTTTTCGCTGTATAGAATCTTGCACATCACATGGACATTTTCCTAGTCAGGGGTTCTGATTCAGCCTAATATTAGTACAAAGGCAGACCAGATGGAATTTCAAAAAGGAACTGCTGTTTCCATGGTCATTCTGCTATGCCATCATCTAAGGCACACAGATTCCAACAAGACTGAAGTGAGCCCAAGGAGCCTATAGCAGTGAGAGCCATAAAATATGGGCCAAAACATGTACAAAGATTTAGTTTCTATATTTAGGGATCAGTTTATCAAGAATCATTAATAGCACATGGTTGTTGGTGGGGGGAAAAACTGAATATGGAGCTATATGCCTTAGAGTCTTTAAATCTTTTAGTCAAGTATATAGATGACAACTATTTGATCTGACAGCATTTCCCCATGAGTCTATGCAAGAATCCAGTGCAGCACTCACCTCTCAAATTCCAATGCCAAGAACTCATAAAATCTCCTTATAATACCGAGATATAAAATGCTCCACCTGGATGGATCTACATTTACATTGGTAACAACTGCAACAGTACAACACCTTCTTCCAAATCACATTTCAGAAGCTCCAGTTGCCATAACAAAGACAGACAAACCTGTAGAATTTCAGAATTTGAAGATCTCAAGAGTGGGACCATAAATCATTATCAGATGAGTTGTGATCATAAAACAACTCTGACTTTGACTACCAGGCCACCTTCTGACTGCACTGCCCTCATGACTGCCACTTTACTAACCCCAGTGGGCACCAGGCTGAATATTCACATACTTGGTTGTTCCACAAAGCTTTCATTCTGGCAAAACCTTTTGTTTAAACAAGGTGAAACCATGATGGCCAAGAAGGTCATCAACAGTGCAACATGGCCTCAAGTTTTGAAATGAAAACTTGGAATGGCAAAAATCTAACCAGCACACAAATTCTCATTCATTATCGCAGGTTACATGAAAAGGCCAACTGTTGTTTAAAATTACTTGACCAAAAAATAGATTTTTTGTTTAACTATAAGAAGGTAAATTACTGCATATAACCTTTAGTTTCCTCTTGTGAATTTGATTGCTGGGACATTCCAAAATCAGTTTAAGAGGGGACCGAGTTAGATCAAACAGGTGTCATCCTTTGTTGCGTTTGTTTTGTACAGAGACTACTAATGTGATATTTTAAAGGTTAACTGTGTTTCCCCAGTCACTATTAAATAAATGGTGATGTGAGCTAAGGTAATTTCACCATAGTTGTTCTCTGCTGTGAGATGATTTAAGCAAAACTAATACTTGCCCCAAATGATTTTTGTGAATGTGGCCAACATCCTTTTGCAGAAACCATTTTACTATGCAAACAGATTTACCGGAATATTCTTCCTATAAACTCAATGTCATCTTTGATAATGAGCACAGTAACAGTAAAATGCAACAGCTAGTTTTGTTTATCTTTGCTTTTTTCTATTCCATATTTATTAGAGATCCACTAAAGGTCACATGCAACTTTTAACAATAGTGGTCATCTAGGGGTGGACTAACCCCCCCCCATATTTTGTTAACAGTACTTAACATTCAACTGTTTGAAAAGCTTAGCTAGAGGAAAAATAAATGGACAAAGACTACCCAAATCTATCATAGGACTCTTTATCTTCTCTTTCTCCAAAGTTTGATTCCCTCCTGGATTCTTTCTTATAACAAATCCAACCACAAAAAAAGATTCAATCTTCAACTTGCTCTCCCAACAGTAACCAATCCAACTTCAATAATAATAAACCTTCTGAAAAAACAAGCCAAACAAAACCAAAAGCAAACTCCACTCCCCATCTCTATCACACAGCCCAAGAACCAACCACACATCCTACATCATCTCCTCACCAACATACTCTCTCAGACTTTTGACAATTACATTCACCTTTATGTTAAATAACCATTTCAAGAGGGTCATTGAAAGAACAATACTCAGTATCAACTACTTGGAAGATTGGTAACAATCACAAGGCATTCAAATTCTGCTTCACTGTCCTGACTGTTTCTTGCAAAAAGGAAACCTTAATCCTTTTTATTGATTACTCTTTTTTTAGATTTCAGGCAAAACAGTAATTTGCTGCCTGCTTTTGGTTTTCTGTACAAGTCTCTAAATTTCAAACTCATAAACAACTCTCCAGTTAACTTTTTGCATAGTAAAAGGCTGCAGTTAGAACTTGTTGCACACAATCCCCAATAAAGTTCTGGCTCAAAAGGTGTAGGTGAAGCTTTGCCAAACCAAAAATGCTGAGATGGCAAGTTTTAAAATGCTGCAAAAATGAGATCACCAGCTGGCTCCATCTTTCATTTCTCATCAACAATTGGCTGTTTAAGTGAAGTAGAGCCACTTGGATTAAAGCCAGCTTAAAAACACAACTTGGCTATGCTGTCATGCCAGCTCCAGTCATTTCATGAACCTCTAGACTACTTGATATAGAAAACATTACTGCTTCGGATTACGAACTTCAGGATACAGATTCATATATAGCAATAAGTGAATCTGAAATTTTGGCAATAATGGGAGACACAGATGAAACACAGAGCAGTGATGTATGTTCATGCACTAAAACACAAAAAGCACCCAGAATGTCAGACCAGGCATAAATATATATATATATATGTTCCTAATATTTTTTTTTAAAAAATGGAGATCCAATCTATTCCTCCTCAGTCATAATCCAGTTACCTCTTTTGACTGTTACCAAAAGATTACAGCCTCCCCGGCCCAGCCAATTTGGTTTAATAGCAAACAGGAGTCTCAACACAGGACAATAGTGGCTGTTATGTTGCACAAGGAAAATGTGTTAAAACGACAGTGTGAAACTTTCAGTCAATTTGGTTTTAAAGAAAGGGGAAATTGCACTCATCAACCATCTAAAATACTGCTGTGTGGGGCCAGCCCACCCTGTAAACCTAGACTGAAAGGGACCCACTTTTACTTGGTCATGTTGAGCCTAAGAGATCTTATCACAACTTAGGAGGAGAAAACCCTGAAAATAGAAACCTGATTCCAAATAGGAGTCTTACTCAAAGCAGGCTTGCAATACCTTCAAGGATACAAACCCCACCAGACACCCCCACTTCCACTTTAACATGCACACATGCATACTCAAGCACTCACCATTATTATTATTATTATTTTTAAAAACCCTTTAAAAAAATTTAAGAGGGATCTCTTAAATTGTTATTCCAGAAGGCTCTATACAGTGCTGTGGAGACTTGAGCAACAGCAATTGAAGGGCTGGCTCAGGGAGCTCCAATTACTGACCTCCAAGGATGCTGGGCAAGGTCACATGTACAGTACTTGATTCAAATATCACAAAAATCAAAATTAAAAGTAACAACAACCTGTGAACAGATATGGTAAAGGAATTGACCGAGACACTAACAGGAACCTTGAAGCAAGGACATAAAGCCCATGAGATCACTTTAGGACCTAATGAGTTTTCCGTGTATTTGTCAATGATCTCTAGACAGCTACAAAAATTAAAAAATTAAAAAATACCCACATCCTTAAAAAAGCACATATTTACAAAAAAAAAAAAAAATACCAAAAACTTCAGCTCTCCCAATCCGTACCTGCTAAATGCTTAGTTTATGTACAGTACCCCTGATTTAGCTGCAAACGTGTATGCCTAGAGTCTCAAAAAGGAGGCTTGGATTATGGCAGATGGATTATGACTATTTAGCAGCAAAAATCCAGTTGTGATTTAAAATGTGTTACAGTCAGCAGTGTAGTTCTTCCTGCCAACTTTGTGTGTGCACGCACAGAGTTCAAATTTCATGAAACTAAACACTGAGACAAGAACCAGGGTCTCCTGATGCCAAATGCAAATTTATGTTGCTTTCCTGGACTCAGTTGCTTTTTTCTTTTAAGAACACTGGAGGTGTAAAAATCACCAAATAATGCTCCTGCACAAGATCCCCTGGGATCTGGGAGTAAGTCCCATAGAACACAATAAGGCTTCACTCCAAATAGGCATATATAAGAATGTGCCATGGGCATAGCCAAGGGGGGCAGGGAGGGGCAGCTGCCCCCCATAACCAATAAAATTCAATAAAAATACATAGCAAACCGAGGTTCTGCCCCCCTAACAAAAAGCCTGGCTACGCCCATGGAATGCGCTGAAAGAGCATTTTATTTTCATGAACATTTAAGCAATATTGCTGTGGAACTGCCTCATCGTGAGTTCAAAGGCTTGACTACTTGAGGACAAGTGCCCAGCACAAAGATGAAGACCCTGATCTTGGGCTGCTAAAGATAGGAACCTTTCCTGTTCTTATCAGTGGAAAGAGATACAGCAGGCCATGCACCAACAAGCACATCTTTTCTTGCAAATGGCCTGATTCTGAAAGGCATGGAGCACTAAGGGATCATGAGGTAGAGACTGATTTGACATGCTGTGCTTCAAGCATACAATTAATCCTCATGTTGTCTCATGAGTGATTTCCCCCCTCAACACATCTATTCCAAGCTCCAGCATGTATTCCATGCTAACTAAAACCATCCAGCGGCACAATCCTATACATGTCTACACGGAAGTAAGCCCCACTGACTTGCATGGGACTTCCTCCTAGGTGAGTATAAGAAAGCAGCCTTAGCTGAACAAACTGAATTTTGTAAGAAAAAAAATGAGTATTAGAAAGAAAAAGGGTGTTGAACAGTCACTAACACACACAAACAAGTCACACTTCTATTCAAGTGTGATGCACTTGTGTAACCACTACTGCACTCAGCCACCACAGTAAATTCACACTTACAATCCATTTATACCAGAAATTTTCTGCTGCCTCCTCTCTTTTGCTCAATGGTTCCCTTCCTCTCATTCCTCATTTCCCCCCAAGAGTGCATGACTGGATAATGACAAGACTTTTAAAAATCACACTGTGCGTTCCACTTTTAAGTCCTGGATGAGGGGCCTGTTTAATCTCTTTCAATATTGCACATATCCTCCAACTGGATTTTATCTTGAAAATGCAAAAAAAAAAGGGGGGGGAACGTAACCCAAAAACCAAAACCCAACAACACACACATACACATGAGAAAAATGTAAATGAACAAACTAGCTAATGAGATCTAAACTTAAATACTAGTATTTCTATTTTGTAAATGCTAGTAGTATGAAAATAATGAATGTTTAACCCAGATTCCCTTCGGTTTCTCATAAATGATAGAAAGCACGTTAACACATTTTAAACAGAGAAAAGCAATGAGTATAATTTTACAATAAAATATGCCACACTAATATTTGAAAGTAGTTTAAACAAACAATTCTATAATGCCTTCGTCAAAATGTTCAGTGTTACTACTGAAAGAAACTTTTTTGGAAATTGCTCATCATCAGAGACAAATGCAGACGTTGCTACTGCATTGTAAACTTGAAACACAAATGCACTTGTTCGCCTACCCCAGAATCTAGACCTGAATTAGCCAGTCTGTAATGTTCCTTGCCAGTTACCTGTACAAATGAGCATTTTAAAGAAGTCCCACCCAAATTATTTTGTATTCAGTTGGGGCCATGACCCTAAGCAACATTTGTACTGGAGTCAATGGGACTTAATTCCCTGTAGATGTGTTAAGGAGTAAGTGCTATATTTTTTTTTGCACAGAGGAACTGTTTTGACTAGGACTTCAATCACTGGAAAGTTGGGCCAGAATCCAAAAAGGGTTTGAAGCTAGTTCCATCAGTGCAAGGAACTTTACGCCCATGGTTTCCTTCAGCAGCACCCCACCCCGTATCAGCCCAATGTTACATAGCAAAACAGTTCAGAAATATGGGACTTTCACAAGCAGTTAGTGATATGACTGGGAGCGGTGTGGTGGGCGGCAGCTGTAGTCAAATTCTTGGCTGGTAAAAGTCCCTCACATGAGCCCAGGTGGCTCCAAATTGATATTTTGATATATGTTGACCAGGCATTCAAATTTTCAGTGAGGCCTAGTTCTCAAGAAACAGCCAGGTGGTAAACCTTTATCTGAACTGAACCACTTCAGACTGCAGATAGGGAAAGATCTGATTGAAAGACCTGCCTCAGAAAAACAAAACCTAACAAGAACAAAAAACAAAAGAAGAATTCCTGCATACAGAAAACAAAATGTTAAGGAAATGACTTCAAGGCTACACCTTACCTGGCCTATGCAGGTAAGTTTGTGGATGTGGTGGATCATTCAAGCATGGAAGCATCCATTGCAGACACAGGTTTGCTAACTCATCAGCTTTTTGAGAAATAAACTTAAGTCTCAGCTTGAAAGAAATTGCAATAGGCAACAGGTATATGCAGGAAGAGTCAAAGAGAAATAGTGTTCACTAGAATTTAAAAACAAAACAAAACAGGAAGAGTATCTTTTCAGGCATTATATAAAACCGCAATAACGAACTCAGAAGTGCTCATTATTATTAAAGTTGCAGTATACAGCAGAACAAAAAAGTTTCAAATTTTTGGTTTTTTGTTTTCAAAAAAAGATGATTGGTTGTTGTTTTTAACTTTTGCTTTCTCAATCATTCCCATTTCATATATTTTTTTTGAAAGCATGGATGACCAAGGTAATCTCAAATAATCAGGAAAATAACTAGAAAGCCACTCCTCCTTCCACAAGAGGGCACTCCGACTTCAAAATATTTTATTCAGTAGCTCCCTGGAGAATTAAAAAAAGTGAATTAGTTAACTCTGAAAGTACAATTATTATTAAATTGCAACTTGATTTTTGATTAGTTTTTAGAAGTACAAAATACTTTTCCCCACCAAAATGCTGCAGGTATTTTACAACCATTTGAATGGGACTATAGTGTTTGTGCAGTGAGATCATGAAGACTTGTCACAAGTAATTGTGAATAGGCCTGGTGCTGCATTTAATTTTCCAGTTCTGAAAAAGTTTCCTAGATATGACCTATCAGCTAAAGTGGGAAACGTAAACTGCATACCAGTAACAGTGAAACTGACTAAAGGTGCTTTCTAGTGTCCTTTATTCCACCCCTTTCATACATCATGAAATCGCCTCCAAGCTTGTCCAACACGTGTGCATGCACAAGCTAAATCTTGTGTGCACAAGCACACAAATATATTTGTGTGTGTGTTGCAGAAAGCACAATATCAGGAACAGCAAGTAGATGCAAATCTGAGAGCAGCTCAGAAGTTAACTTTGCTACTTGCTAAGAACCTCATCACCATAATCACATAAAGTATATTATAATATTGGCTACTGGACCGCCTCTGTTGGGCAACTGAATATTGCTTTCTTCTTTTAATGCACAATAGATCCTACTCAAGTATTTGTATACATCTTTCAGTAATTATTGCTGAGCAAACTGATCTCATAAATAGGAGACCTCTGCAAGAAAACAGGGCTTACAGATGCCATGCCTGCTCTGTATCATATTGATAGCAAATAGATATTGTTTTTGTGGGTAGCAGTTTCCCTTACTGAAAGAATAGTAGACAAGCCACATGCTTGATATGCAGCAAGAAAGGCGTAGGTCCTCAGGAGGACTTTGCAAAAGCATATTTAGATCAATTTAGCAGACAGCGATCTTCTGCACATAGGACTGGAGAATGTTCAACAGTCATCCATTAAGTGTTGGGTGCTAGCAGAATATATTGAAGACATCTAGGGAATCTGGTGGTGGGATGGGGGATTGTTCAATTACTACTTCAGGTCAGCTCCTCACATTTACTCAGGGCTGCATACGTTTAAGGAATATAACTAGCTGATCCACTGCTCTCCAATTCTGAAATATATGTCCCTTTTCCTTAGCAGAAAGTTGACACTTGCTAACTGAATCTACTGTATTTTGAGAGTCCAATGGCTCAATGTAGAAAAGTTGGGAGCTGCATATTTAGCTTTCCCAGGAGATGATGGCATCTTTAGAACAAAACTGTATAGTACAATTTTTAAATAATCATAAATTATTTTAATAAATAGGTGAACTTTTTTAAAAAATGACAATTTATACTGCACCTTTAAATAATGCACTTGGTTTTTTCTGCATTTTGGTTTAAATTGTTAAAGTGCATTAATTCAAAAATAATGAACCACTTCCTTATCATTATTGTTAAAAAATAAATCATAAACATTAATATGAGTTGCTAAATCACTACTATTAGTACTGCAATCTAGCAGATTACTTTATGGTTTTGCTCTATTTAATACTGTCCAGCAGAAGAACATAATACTTCTATTTATAATCTCACAGCAGCTCTGGCAGTTCTTTTAACAATGGCTGCTAAGGTTTCAGCAGACTTTTAAAAGGAAGAGAAACTTCGAAGAGGCAGAGCTGCTAGGCCTTAGGAAGAAAAGCTCAGGAAAAACACCTACACCTTTTACTTTGCAGTGTAGATCATGACCTTCTCCCCATGAGCTCTTCCACTGAGCGCGTCACAGGCCTCTCAATTCCTTCCTGCTTCACACAAGCCAACCCTTCTTCCATGCTTATTTATCCAATATAAAGCAATAGTATGGAAGGTGGTGGCAGCCAAACTTTAATGGTGTCTCAACAGATCAAACTGAAAGGACAATTGGCACATGAGCTGCAGAAATCAACCCCTCCCCCAACATTTCTCATTGATTCAAGACGCGTAACACCATATTTTTGTTTAAAGAGAAAGAGAGATGAATCAAGTGAGAATTATGTAATGTTTCCCAAAGACCAAACATCTCCCCATTATATATTTGATTTTGAATCCTTTGGAAGAAATGTATCCATTCAGTTCGTTCAAATCTTCCCATTCTTTTATCTTTCACCTAGTGGAAGGCATGAAGTGTTGCTGGAAGATGAAATAGATATTTATATTATTTATTCTTGCACAGTAACACAAACACAGCTGGTTTTCTTCTCTTGACACACAAAATGCTGGGCCTCAGGACAGAGACATCAAACTCTCATCTGAGAATCGGTATTCTTAAGCAAAGGCCATCCGGTGTTTCCTTTTTTACAATTATAAAGTTTATTTAAGGGCTGGTGTTTGAGGCCACAGGGAGGGGGATACACTTTGCACCCAAGCCTTTTCTCCCAGTGGCTTTTCATTTTTTCCATGCTCTCCCACAAATGTTCTATCTTTGAAGTTTCATGATTATAAATATCAATGGTGGGGGGTGGAAACAGAAATGGAGAGACTGCCCATGTGTGCAGGTGAGCAGTGCTTGAACAGGTACATTCTCCACTCAATAGTGTTCTCATTCAATTGCTTTGCAGGTTTTGAAAGTATCAGGTGCTTCTCTCCCAATACAAAGTAATGTTCAAGTGAATACAACAGAAGAGTGATTCCTACTGCTTGCTCTTAAAAAGGGGGAAATAAAAAGTTTAGGACAGAGATAGTTCAAAAATAAAAATCATCCCACAAATATACAAATTAAAAACAATTGTGCAGACAGTAAAATGCATGGCTTTTTTCTCTCTTCCCTGCCCCAACTTTGTAAACACAGATGCTTCTCTGCTGGCTGAGAATGGGCATTCATATCTGGAAACAACACTTAAATACAAACTGTATGGGTCTCCTTGCTTTGTTTTTATTTTAAATTTGTTACTCCCAGTATTCTTGATCTTAAGCACTGTGAGCGTTCTGACATGCATGCACAATTCCTGCACTGGCACTGTCCACCTCATTTCCACATGAGGATGCACACGGGGTATCACTCCTCTATCAATGAAGGGCATGCGGAAGAGCAGGGACACGGAGAAGCTCCACGTTTACATATAGACACTCCTGCACCTCAAGTAGAACCTGGAGTGGGCAATCGGCTGTGATGCAGTGGCTTCAAGGTATCCCTGATACTCCTTACAGAAAAGTAACTCCTCACTCTCTTCTACTGGCAAGGAAATGTTTTTACATCATGCACAATAGAGAGATCCAATCCCTGTGAACATGAATAAATGCTTCCCTTCATAGGAAATAATGGAAAGCCCCTGCAAAACAAAGGCCCATTATGTGGGAGCAAATCCCCTCCACTCAGGGCCAACTCACCTACTTTGGCAGGTGGAGCCCTGCAGATGGCTCTGGAGAAGCCATCACCACTGTGTTACATGACTCATTGGCCTGGTTTTCAAGCCACAGGAGGCCACTGTGCGGCCACAAGAGCTGAAGCCTTATGGGGCTTTGGGGTGGGAGCAGAGTGCATGCACAACTTAAGGAGCTGTGCAGAAGCACTGGTGGAAGCAAGCCTGGTAATTCTGACCTGGGCAAAATGAAGAGGAAGGGAAGAGTTCTTGAGAAATCCCTTTCCATCTAGCAAAGGCTTATGGATGGCCAAGGAGCCAAACCCATGATGGTCCATGAGCCAGCAAATGGGGCTTTGTGGAACTGCAGATTCCCCTTTTAAGCTACAGACAACTGATATTCCCTGCATTCAGATGAAACTTTGCTGCTTCATAGTCCAATATGGGGCTCTGGATAGCAAAGTATGTGACAAACCCCTTCAACCAGTACTTTCAGTATTGGTTGTTCAGAAGAACCTCAAAATAAAACATTAAATTTTGAGACCAATAAGTTTGCACAAGAGGTGTGTTGCAAACACAGAATTTTTAGTGTGCATACAAACACCTAGGAACCACATTAAAGTTTGACTACACATCTAATTCCAATAATAATAGTAAAAAAAACTTGACCCCTTCCCCAAACAGTTGACACAGAGATCACCACAGGACAGAAGCATGACCGATGCCATTGGGGGAAACTGACAATATGCACTTAATGTCAGGTACTAGCAATGCACAGTGAAAAAGCTCCAAGTCTTCAATCTGGAGACAAGAATGTGATAGCCGAGGGCCAACACTGGATTTCTTGAGTTTCCCCACTTGCTCTGCTGACTTAAAGATATCTTGCTGGTGGTGGAGACTCATCCACAGCTTGGAAACACTTTCGCACACTCCATGTGGAAGAAATGAACAAGCTGATTTTTTTAACATGTCCAGGTTGGCACCAAAGTCCCCACCATTCACAAGTGGATGCACAGGTCCAAACTATACTGTGAAAGGCACACATTTGGTTTCCTTTTATGACAACCAGGGTGGTGGAATAATGAACCACGTTGCACTCAAAATTATTAAGGTCTTCACCAAAACAGAAAGAGAATGCCATTAGTTCCAGCTGCCTTTTCCCTTGATATTTGCTGAACAAGCCAATTCCTTCAAACACCCTCAAAGACGGCAGACTTGCTGGTCATAGCAAAGGTCAGATCAACAGTCCCTTGTATATTAGATAGACTAAAAAGGGAATAAAATCATTGTATTTTCCCCCTTCCTTCCGTATGTACACAGTATAAAAGTATAAATAATGGAATTTAAAGACACTAATTCTTTTTCTCCAAATAATTCGAGGGCACCCAGCCTTTAAAAGGTTTTCCTCCATCCATAATCTGACAGTACCACCAACCATTTGGGTTCCTTTCCAGGACCTCCATGCAGACACCTTCCTGAAATCCAGCAGTTTCTTCGTCCCCCTCATAATCTGCAATGGAGATGTAGATATCCTTAAGGTTATTGTGAATGAACTGGGATTTTTCAATGGGCTTGGGCCTGACTGTGGACACTGGGATTCCATTGCGCTCAGAAGGTACGTAGGAACTTGTCTCAGACCCCTCAGAACCCAGCCGATCAGTGTGCTTTATCTTAGAATCACTAGTCTGAGATTGGGCAGCATTGAAAGAAGAGTTGCGGCGTACTGCCCTCAGGTGGTCTGTGGCAGTAAGAGACTCATTCCTACGCAGGGAACAAGGCAAGTTATTATCCTTGGGTGGTGGGGAGACAAACACTGACTGTGGCCTCACTGCTAGTTGCCTAACCCCATTCCGCAATTTGACAGACCCAGATGTTTTAGAAAAGCCACCAGGTGGTTTGCTGGGAATGGGAGGTGTTGCTCTCTTGCTCTGGTTGATGGTGTTGAGTGCTTGGACCTTCTTCTCTATCTTCTCCAAGCTGTTGGATTTGTTTTCATTCCTTCTGTTCTTGGCCACTGAGATGTTAGCCTCATTCGAAGTGGTTTCCCGTTGCTGGCTATCAGACAGTACCAGATAGTGAGAAGGAGCCCAGCCTTCTGTGTCTCCATATCTCAAATACCACCACCCACTTGTTTGCTTTTCCAGAACTTCCACTGTCATCCCCGCTGGGAAGCTGATCTCAGAATCTTGAACTTTCTGGTAAGAATCAGTAGTTACATAGATACATTTTGAGGAGTTGTTTTCATTCTCTGCCTTGTTTGGCTGGCTGGAGTAGAATATGGCATGGGAATGAGTGGGAATGAGATCTGCAGAGCTTCTTCTGAATGACTCTTCTGGGTTTCCAGAAGCTGTCCGAGGTGGACTTTCAGACTCTTCACTTCTTGAACCTTTAAGTCCGCCTCTCAGCTGTCCAGTTGGTCTCAGCTGGTGACGTAAAGTGCTGATGTCCATCCTTTCTTGGCTTTGGGAGTCTGCTTTGTTCAGGAAAGGTTTTGGTCTCACCATTGGTTTTGCCCTGCTAGACACTGCCTCCCCAGTATCCCTCTTTAGGCCAGTTTTGGGCATGCTACTTAAACCAACGTCTGAAGCGGACCTTGGCTTTGTCTCCTCATTCCGGGGGTAGTGCGGCTTCCCAAGGTTTGGCTGAATGCTCTTGTCGCTTTTGGGCTTCAGGAGGGAAGACTTGGGAGAAACAGAACATGGAGAATTTCTTTGGATCAGAGACAGTGATGAACTTCTTTGAGAATCAGAGTCCCCACTAGATTCTTTGCTTGACAGAGCATCTTCTATGTATGGCCTGAAACCTTCATTTTCATAGATGGTCTCCTCTTCATGTGCTACATCTTCAGATGACTCTCCAACTCGGAATTTTGCCCTTTGGAGGGATGACACAGGGGAAGGCTTGAGTAGATGGAACATGCCTCTCTCCAAGCTGCCATCTTCCCCTTGGCTCAGCTCAGACTCAGAGTCAGCACCAAAGGCAGGCACATCATACTCTGGCTCCTCATACTTTTGCTTGTCCTGGGCATCTCCTGAAGATATGGTTCCAGCAACTGTTCCTTCTTCAGAGTCTTTTGATTTATTGGGAGGCGCTGGGGGAGGAACTTTGGGTCTGGTCAAAGTACTTGTTCGCCTGTTTAAATTTGGCTTCTTCCTTTTGTCAATGTATGAAGCTGGAGCCCAGCCTTCCTTTTCACCAATCTGCACGTACCACCAGCCACCAGAATTCTTGTCAATAACCTAGAGAGGGATTAACATAGAGATTAGTTTGGGAGGAAGAAGACAAAACAATATCACATTATTTTTTATCTATGCTACCATCACATTTCTGCCTAAGGTTTAGCAACTACCCATCACTCATTAGCTTGTTTCCCTTTCTAGGCTTACCTCCGCCTTTTGTCCCCCATGAAAGCTGATCCCATCAGAGATACAAGACTGGAACTCTGCAATGGTGTAGTATTCAACTTCCACTGATGGTGGCTCAGGAGGTTTAGGCAGCTGGAAGCCCTGCAGTGAGAAAAAGCAATAAGTAGAGCAGTTAAAAGTGGCAATAGGGTGCGGAGGGAAAGAGGGGAAATTAAGGTTTTATTTTATTTTAAGAAAGCTGCTTGCATTTTAAGCAAGGAAGTGAGATGAATAAACATCAGCCCAGATATTAAAAGCTCATAACCCACTGCATCAGGGGTAGCTAGGATGTGGCCCTCCAGATATTGCTAGACTACAATTTCCATCAGATCCAGTGACATGGCCAATCGCCAAGGATAATGGGAACTGTAGTCCAGCTATCCCTTAAACCTGGTGGCCAATCAAGGGGAATGAGTGTTACCAGTCCAGTGACGCAGCTCTCAGTCAGTTTTAAACTTCCTCAATTCAAATACATTAGTGAGATTTCCACTTCCTATGGAATGGGAAGAAGACAAAAACCCTTGAAGCAGGAATGCCTGCTGTGCTGCCATCTCCATTCCCTGTTTTTAAATGACTGGATAATGTGGATGGATGCACAGCAGCTTAAAACTCATAAGTCTTGAACAACTTAAAAATATTAAGTGGAAATTGCTTCATAGTAGAAATCCTACTCCTGCCAACCTAGCAGTTTGAAAGCATGTCAAAGTGCAAGTAGATAAATAGGTACCGCTCTGGTGGGAAGGTAAACAGCATTTCCGTGCGCTGCTCTGGTTCGCCAGAAGCGGCATAGTCATGCTGGCCACATGACCCGGAAGCTGTACGCCGGCTCCCTCGGCCAGTAAAGCGAGATGAGCGCTGCAAACCCAGAGTCAGCCACGACTGGACTTAATGGTCAGGGGTCCTTTACCTTAGAAATCCTACAGCAGAGGTGGCTAGGTTTTGGGTTGGTTTTTTTTACATTAAGGGCAACACTGATAATTCACCTCAGTAATAGTTATAATCACTCAAGCAAGATTATAAGACCTGAGGGAGGTAGAACGCAGAGAAAACATTCAAATATACACAATGAAAGAATCTATATTCAACCCAACCTTTTAACTATTGCTTAAACCATTTTGACAGTGTATATTTCTTCTCCCATCTTTTTTGTGAAGGGGAAAAAGGGCAGATGAGAGAAACAGGATGCAGAGCCTTTCTTCATCGGATAGTTTATATTTGTCTAGATTAAATGCTTTACAAAATGGCATGCCACTGGAATGAGCAAATCCAGGCCTGCATTTGATAGAGGTGGGTGTAGCAGGAAAATAGGTATTTTAAGGACAAACTTGGTCTAGTACATTAAAGAAGTGGAAGCTTGCACGTACATATTCACACTATAACCTATGTATGGTACAACTCAAAATGACGAGACAGGAGTATGTGGGGGATGGAATAAAACTCAGTTCTGTAATACAGCTGTAGCTCATGGATCACTAATAGCTCCAAACAACTTTTGACAAGTTAGAAAGGCTACATCCACAACGTATATTTAAGGTACTCGGATATCACTTTTTAAAAGCCACTGCTTTCCCCCCAAGAATCTTGGGAACCGAAGTTTTTAAGGGTGCTAAGAGTTTTTGGAGATCCCCTCAAAGAGCTACTATTCTGGGAGTGGTTTAACAATCTATCATTCTTCCCAGGAAACTCTGGAAACTGTAGCTCTGTGAAGGGAATAGGGGCCTCCTAATAACTCTCAGTACCCTTATTAAACTACACTTCCCATGATTTTTTGGGAGAAGCAATGCCCATTTAAAATGGTATTATAGTGCTTTAAATGTGTGGTGTGGATGTGGCCAAAGACAATATAAAAGTAGTACGTGCACAACTGGTAAAACAAAAGAGGGTAACTCTTCCCACTTTCTTTCTTCCTGTTCCATTGGGACCTGAGTGCAACAGATTAAGAGGTGTTGCATTTGTGCAAAGTTAAATATTTGCAAGTGCCATTGGAAGTATAAAAGAAATTGGCACTCACCAAACTAGATTCTCTTCTTGGGGGAGGTCTGGTTCTTAGATTTGGAGAACCTAGTGAGAGAAGAAATATTCCATATTTAAACAGAACAGGCACATGCACATCCCAGCTTCAATGTTCTGCCAGCAATTAAAATAAAAATTAATGTGTCCAAGAAAAATAAAATAATTTATTACAATAATTTAATAACAATTTTTAAGGCGCAAAGCCTTCCTGGGCACCTTATGTTTTTAAACAAAATACAAATAACATACTTATGAAAACCAGCAGAGAAGTAAAGTCAGCATAAAAACAGGACTGACAACTCTCCAAGACTCCCACAAGCTCCAGATGTTTTAGATTACAACTTGTGCTGGCTGGGGCTGATGGGAGATGGGGTCCAAAACCACTGGAGGGCACCAGGTTGGCAAAGGCTTGTCTACAAGCTCTAAGAGGTATAGACAAATGAAAAGGTCTTCACCTGCCCCCACCCCAAAAGGGTTACTATGTGTTGAAGCCAGAACTGATCTGCTTTATCTGAGACACGGGAGAAGAATAATTAAAATAGGTGATTATTTTAATCTTGCCAAATTATGTTGGATGGAACTGATGGTGGGGGCAAGGTGCAAAGAAGTTAAAATAAAACCAGTGGGGTTTTGGAGTTAAGCTAACATAGTATGGGAATTTTGTTTTGTTTTTTATGATGCCCAGAAAGATGGCATGGCTATTCACAACAATGGAGCCCCTTTCATGTGATCTTTGCATGCAGAGAGGGGGACAAGATCACCATATGGCCCCTATCTCCATTCTGCACACCTTCAAGTAAGAACTGTATGGAGCCTATGAAAACAGAGCTGTAAATACAGATGACTCTCTCCATGGCTTTTGAAACCCTGACAAGATTATACTTCTGTGGGCTCTGTTCTGACCTTCAAGTGACTGTACTGAAGCAGAGCTTGCTGCCATGATTCCATGCCCCCTCTTTATGTCTGTTCAATCAGTCTAGATGTGAACAACTGAAAAACCCTTGTGCTAATATAGAAATCTAGACTTTTAGGAGCAGTTCACCAGAAGGGGGCGTCAGATGTCTTCCCAAAAGATGAGTCTATGCAGGAATCATGTCACATTCAGGATCATAGCAATCAATCACAGACTGGTGGTTGTCAGACTTTTTGCAGACAAACATCAGCCAAGGGGCCTAGCCAGGTGTAGCCTGCACTCCATATTAATATTCCACTCTGCTCTGCAAGAATTGCTACCATATGCATTCATTCATCTATCTATCCTCCCTCCTCCTCTTGTGCCAACTCCATTTTCACAAACCTCTCGTTTCAATCATAGTTTTTAATGGCTTAATTGGTATAATCATATAACTTTAAATTCACCCATTTTCTAGATTTAAGAATGAGATGGGGTCCCCATATGTTGTTGAATGACATTTCCCATCATTCCTGACCATTTGGCAAGATGAACGTGGATGATGGGAGTTGGAGTCCAACAACTTTTGGGGGCCCAAGGTAAAAGCACCAACCATCACACTTGATCACTGGGCCATTCTGGCTGGGCCTGGTGGGAGATGTAGTCCCCTAAATATCTGAAGAACTGGGCTGAGGAAGCTGCTCGCAACTAGTATTTTCCTCAATCCATCAGAAGTTGACCCTTCCAACCTGCCCCAGCAGTAAATAAGCAGCTAGGAGTCTACCATGGCCTTACTTATTTGAGCTCTTTGTGGCGCAATCCGTGCTATGGCTGGAGAACCCTGTGCCAATTTTGAAATCTGTTTGTCTTGAGTCATCATGGCATTGCCATTAGAATCATTGCATAAGATGGGCAAGCTTATTTCCTTCTTGGTGATGTGGGATTCTGCTGTTTCAATTTCTGACTGGGTTTCCTTGTCACTAGAGGATTTCTTATTCAACAGGTTGCTGATCTCCATGATGTTTCCTATAATTTCCACTGGCCCCGTCAAGTTCTTTTTCCTTGATGGAAGGTCATCTTTTGCTTTTTTCAGGTACGAGGCTGGGGCCCAGCCCTCTTTGCCTAAATACCTAGAAATAGAAAACGCAAATATATTCAGTTTTCTGTGCCTCAAAATCTGACATGGTGTTGCAGGATGATGTACAGGAATAGGATTAGAATCCCCATGAACACCTTAAAATGCATGCAAAAAAACCCTACTAATGGAAAGTGACTATAACCACACAGTTGCCGGTCAGTGCTGCAATACTGAATGAAGCAGAGATTATAAGCCTGTGGTCCTCTAGCTATGGTTAAACTCCAAATCCCATCAGCCCTAGCTACATAGCAACTGGTAAGTGTGCTCCAAGAATCCTACTTTGGAAATACAAAACCCAATAGTCGCTGGATCCTGGATGCTTCCAGGCAGTCCTTAATTTGCAAAGAGGTGATTGAGATATCACTAAATGGGTAATTAGAGATGGGGTTTTTAGACTTGGGGATATTCCCTGGAAAGGGAAAAATGGGGGGTGGCACTTTTATGCCAACAATTCCACGTGGACATTGGAAGAGGGGGGGGGGGAAGCATGCAAGGGGAACACTGATGCCCATCTGGAAGCACCCCCTGCATTGGGGGAGCTAACCCAATAATAAAGTTTACTTTGAATCAGGGCTCACAAGGACTTAAAACCAGATGCAGTTACAAATGCCATGGGCTTAGTTGCAGAAATATAACCTACTCCTCTGCAATATCCTTCCTTCCCCTTTTACCCCTCTAGCAACTTTAGTTAAAGAGTACTCACAATTCCAGGTCTCTCAAACACAGAAGACATCCAAAAGATGTCTTTCTCAAAAAAAAAGGGAGAAAAAGTCTTGAGGCTGTTACTGGCATGCAGTCCAGGTTTTGCCACTTCCATTCTGGATAACTGAGCATGGGAGCAGCATGGGAAAGCCACTTCCACCACACTCTACAACTGTCCTGGGCAGTCCTCTCGCAGCCCTCCAATGGCAGCAGTGAGCAATGGGATCACTTCACTGCCGGTGAGCAAAGCTTTCAGGACTAGGGGCTGAGAGAAAATAGAACTTGTGGAAGTGAGAAACTGCCTACAGGAAAAAACAAGGCTTAACATGAGATTCTTTTCTTCAAATGCCTCATACTTTTACTTGCTCAACAACTCTGAGAGGAGGACAGCAATGTGATTGGTTAGTCAAATGAGTGCACTCTTAATTCTCTCCCCTCCCTTTGGGAGTCTGAAAGAGCACAGCAGGGGAGAAAAACAAAGCCTTTGATTATTGCAGTGATTATTAATACAAGATTATTTGACCACTCCCCCCCCCTTGTCATCAAGGTAGGCACACCCCATGGCTGAGGCTCCTCCCCTGAGCCTCACTGGATCACAGCCATGTAGAGCCAATGCAAAAGCTCAGATTTAATTCTGAAGCTCTGCAGGCATCTTCCACATCAGCTTTAAAGGAAGGAAAATGTGATTTGCAGAAAGATAAGCAAATCAGAGTAGTGGCCTTGAGGCCAAACAGTTTAAAATAAGGTTACCAGATTTTTTTCAATGAATCCGGGGACACTTTTCAACTTCAATGGATTTTGTATGGGGACTGATTTGTAAATCCGGGGACTGTCCCCGGGGAACGGGGACGTCTGGTAACCTTCGTTTAAAACAGCATTGCAATAGGGGCAGATGATTGGGGGCCAGGCACAAAAGATCCAGCTACCCCCAAACAATCCTGCTCCTAGGAGCTTTACATATGTGTAATCACAACGTAGAAGCCTAGCTCAGCACAAAAAATAGAGAAGTGCTTGGAGTTAGTTGCATCTAAGGACAAGCTCCATGATTAACTCTCATATGCCTATGCAAGGAGGCACTTGAGTTCTGAGCAGGATAAAAAGGACACTGGCTTTGTCAAAATTGGGTAGCAGCAAATTCATAGGGTATAAGTTTATCAGTGCTGCGAGCCATAATGTCTATACTGTGTCTGCACAGTTGGATGCAGTATGCTTCTGAATGCCAGTTGCTGCAAACCGCAGGAGGGAAGAATGCTACTGCACTTAGGTCCTGCTTGTGGGCTTCCCATGGGCACCTAGTTGGCCACTGTGAGAACAGCATGCTGGACTGCAAAGGCCACTGGCCTGATCCAGGAGGCTTATTCTTATGTGCTCACACTCTTGCATTCAGATTTCATAGATGTACTAGTTCCCTTGCATAGCACAACCCTAAGACTGGCCCAGGAACTTGTTCCATTCTACGTGATCAAAAAATTGCAGCAAAAATGCAAGCCAAACAAATTCTTGCAGCAAGTATCAAGGTTTATCCACCGAAGCAGTTTCTTGCTTTTTGTCCCTATAACAGTAATAGTTATAACCCCCACTTTTAAATAGGGTGCAGTCATTTCATTAAGCCAGAGGTGCCAGCTTTCAAGGGCAATGGGGGGGGGTGTCAGGAGAAGCCAGGGGCAGAGTTGAATACAGCGGCAGCACAGCTTCAATGGCAGGCTACTCCTCCTCCTCCTGCCACCACTAGCCGTGTGTGTGTGTGTGTGTGTGTGTGTGCTTCAAACCTCCTTCCCTTGCACAGCTGCAGCAGGAGAAGCAGACGCCCCCTGATTCTCGTCCCCCATGATTTGGCGTCCCCCATGAGTTGCATTCTCATCCCCCATGAGTTGCATTAAGCACATTATCTGACAGGCTATTTGCTTGCACAGTCTCCCATAGCTGTGGAAGACAACAGTTCAATTAAGAGTTTAGGGTTAGAATAGTAACCACTTGTGAACCTTCTCAACATTCATAATACTGTACAGGAAAATGGAGCAGGGGAGGGAGGACAACATTCAGATGCACTGGAGAGTGGAATGCAACAAGAAGGTGGTAATATATAGAAGCGGCTACACTGCAATTCCCGAAAAGTTTTTTAAATGCTGAATGAAAAGTTAGCATCCAAACTGTAACAACACTGGGGGGCGGGAGAAAGGGGGGGGGGAGAGAGGCCTCCATTTGTCTGAGCGTTTTCTTCCCTGTTAACATCTGCTTTCCAGCTCCAGAATACTGGAATTACTCCAGAGGGAAGGAAACCAGGAAGGGAAAAGCAGGGGAGGGGGAAGTAAGAATCAGTACAGAACCATGTATTTTGGAAACTATTATTTAAGGAGGTGAACATTAAAGACTTTAACGTGGAACTTATTACCTAATTATTAGTGCTTATCTTATTCTTGTGACACATACGTCATTACGATTATGCATTCTTGCAAGCATTTTTTGTGTGGCAAAAGTTCTGATAGCTGTAATAGTCCCACTTTGGTTTATTGAGCATTTATTCTGATTTGCTTGCAGCATTGTTTATAAATCTTTCCATTAATCATTTGGTCACCCTACACTTTTGAGTGCATTTCCCCATCACCTTCATTATTAGGGCCCCCTGAGAGTCAGGGGGCCCCAAGTATGTACACCAACATGCACCTACATCCTATGGATTTAGATGGGGGCATTTTTCAAGTGGACTGCATCTGCTGTTCTGATGTTGCTGTTACAAGCATGACATTCTTAATCACAGTTCAGAACCAGCCTAAGCACTATATCTTATCTTTCATTCATTCTTGCCTTCAGCTTGATTCATAACAGAGGAGAAAGAGAAAGCAAATTAGGAAATCCCTGTTTCATATTCAAGGACTCTTGTTCTTGTGGACCAAAACCACATTCTTCCATGGAAGGCTGCCATGCCTTAGGTAGATATATTGGCAATGAAGTCTGCAGCTTCTGGTCAGCTATCCACTGTCTAGGAAAATCAGGTTTGTTAACCATAGCATTGTAGTGGATCCCATCTAAACATGCACAATGGAGATAAGTCTTGCCATGGACAGTTGGGGTGGGACCAGTAGGGAGCCAGTGTGGTGAAGTGGTTAAGAGCGGTAGACTCGTAATCTGGGGAACCGGGTTCGCATCTCCGCTCCTCCACATGCAGCTGTGGGGTGACCTTGGGCTAGTCACACTTCTCTGAAATCTCTCTGCCCGACTCACCTCACAGAGTGTTTGTTGAGAGGGAGGAAGGGAAAGGAGAATGTTAGCCACTTTGAGACTCCTTCGGGTAGTGATAAAGCGGGATATCAAATCCAAACTCCTCCTCCTCTTCTTCTTCTTCTTCTTCTTCTTCTTCTTCTTCTTCTTCTTCTTCTTCTGATAATCCCCAAGCTTCCTCTGCTACATAAGGATGAATACTTCCTAGGCTTTTTAAAGGCCTTCTAGTTTGGCTTCAGCCTAGACTGAATCTCTGTGAGCATGCATCAGCAAAGATAGCTTTTCTCTGCTTGTGCAGAATGAGAAGAGTCTCCGGCATGCAAGGTGCCTTCGTCCAACTATGAAATAATCCCAAACAGCTAACACCAGGAGGCAAAGAAACTGAGCCAGGGGCAGGGGCTCTAGCCTGCTTTCATTTATGCCTTCCCCATTTGCACAAAATGTAAACACTGCTAAAAATTAGAGGCTTTGGTCTCCCTCTTCAATGAAAATACTGAAGACTGCAAGAGATTCTAGGCCCCTGCAGACCTTAAGATAAAAGGAAGGCTGGCAGTGACCAGAAAAAAACTTTTAAAAACAAAAAGGGAGTTCAGCAATAACATCAGGGGGAGTTTGTGATATTGTTCCTCCTTCTGCAAAGAACTGTGCACTCTGCTCCTGAACCCTTGGCTTTGGATTAAAGTCCCGTGGATGATTTAAAAAGGGAAGAATGTAGAGCTGACAATGGGCCAGCTATTCCCTGCTCATCACGTTGGAAATCTTCTCCCCTTCTATCGACTTTCATTTGTTATTGATGGGAGAGTTAATCAGGAAGATGCAACAGCGAACATGTTTATAGAACACATAGAACTCTGTGTGGTTCCATTATTCATAGCTCCAGTGCCTTAAAGATGGCCAGACTACAAAGCAAATGACAACCTATGAAAAATATATGTTTCACATGCAAAAGGAAGTGAGCAATAAGGGGTAGGTTCATAGTATCCCAGGGTGGGGTGGGATCACCAGAGTTACCTAAAAGAACTCCTTATAATGTGGCAGGATCCACAGGTTTGTACCCTCCCTTTGATGGTTGTTTATAAAGCCACATAAGGAGCAGAATTCCACATCTTCTTTAGGGAACCTGTACCTTTGTCCAACCATTCTTTCAATTACGACAATCCTTTGGCCTCTTACATGAAAGGGAGCCCCGTTAAATTCAGTAGGATTTGCTTCCAATATTTATCTGACTGCTGCAGTTAAACTTGAATGACTTTATACACATTGCATCTTTCATCCCTCTCCTATCACCAAGCAACAGGAGTCTATTATGCTGAGCACTGCAAAGACATACTGCTTACGTGGCATTTAATGTTTCTGGAGCTGTGCCAGTTTTTTTTTTTAAAAAAGAAAATCCAGTTTATGCTTGAAATTAGTCATTTAAGGGCACCAGAAGAGAAAATTAGACTGCTCCCCCCCCCCGCCAGCGGTTAAAGGGATACCTGCTTTACAGGCCAAAGTGTAGCACCACAGAGACCTAACACACCACTGCTTCCTCCTGACTCCCCTAAAACGTTTCTTCTAAAATAGTCTATCAGCTATTTTTGCAAATAAACAAACACAAAAGCAAAACAAGGTTATTCATTGACCAACACATATTAACAAGTATTTGAGCTGTTGCTGTCATATAACTTGTGTTGTAGTGACGCACGCACACAACGGTAACAACTTCCCAAAGTTATCAAACATCACACCTGCTGACATTAATCCTATGCAACTTGTCCCACAGTGCTCAATAGGTCTTACTCAAAGGAAAATGTCCATAGGATTGCAAACTGGGAGACCCTAGCGGCTCACCTCAATCATTAATGAAGAGAACAACCACCCACGAGAGAAGATTTGGATTTTTTTCCAACTTGAAGGACACACATATCCCCCAGAAGCCTTTTTCCTCCCCGCACCCGTTTCTATATATTGTACTTCGTTATTTTAACTACATATTCAATATAATTTTAAGTAGCTTTGTACAACTTGACCAGCATTTTTATTTTCAATATGCTGAGGTCCTTTCTTAGATACAAGCAACTTGTGAGATGCCGTGTTCACAAGGCTAGTAAGCAAAAGGCCTGCCAACACCAGAATGATTTAATTAAACCTTTACCTTATGTACCACCATCCTTCCAGGTTCTTCTGAATGACCTCCACAGTGACTCCTTTGTCAAACCCGATTTCATCCTTCCCCTGGCTGGTGTATGACTGGATTGTGACATATTTCTCTTCTAGCAAAGAAAGAGAGGGCAACATCAGTTAAGATCAAAACTGGCCCCAGCTGTTGCTCTTTCCTGATTGCTATTCAAAATGATTTCGCAGCAATTAAAATGTGGCAGCATTGCAGAGGTGGAGCCTTGCTTGTGAGGCCCTGTACCTATTAGCTAAGCATGCCTGTATCAGCTCCTCGCCACCGCCCTGCGCCGTCAATGCCAACAAATGAGACAGGGTCCCTGAGGAGGGGTCTCCCCCATCTCCTACATATGGTATTGACAAAAATCAAGCTCTCTGCCAGAGTAGCAAAGCATCACTGGAGGAACTTGCTCCAGCTGGCTCCATTTAGCACACACATGGTTATGTTAAACATTGCATTACTGGAATCTGAATGCTGAAGCTGGAGTGGGACCAATACTACTCCAGCTCGAAGGAATGGACTGACCTATCATCTTCACACTCCTAGAAATAATACAAGTTTGCAGCACCAAGCTGCCAGTATTTGTTTTTTTCATGATTAGATCATATTGTACCTCCCCTAACTCCACTCCAAACCTCAGTGCTCCCAAGAGAAAGGCAAGTGTCACTTTCTAAGCATCTTCTTAAAAAATCAACGCCGTTAATTCAGTGCTAGAAGTCCCGTTTTATCCACCCACCACAGGTTATTAAGTCTTTGCAAAGCCATGGAATCACAAAGCATTTTAGCTAACTGTGCACTTGCTATGAACTTTACCCAACTCTACACTAGGTCACAGTTGGGGGACCTGTGGCACTCCAGATGTGATTAGAGTCCCAACTCTCATCAGCCCCAGCTAGCACTCACTGATGGGAGTTGTAGTCCAACAACATCTGCAGGGCCACAAGCTCCCCATCTCAAGCCATAACCACCTCCTTCCAAAACAAGAGTCAGGAGAAGAAAATGCCTCCAAGGTACCCAGAGACTCTCATCTGCATATTAAGATGCTAGCTAATTACACAAGCAAAGTTTTAAATTGACATTTCAGTGAATTTGGAAGATCTCTTGGGATAACAGATCATGTAGACTCACCAATCAATGACTTTTCCACACTAAAGTCAACTCCTCCTCTAATTTTATAGTTGGTGTAACATTCACACTACTCTCCAGTCCAGTACCAGTTTCATAATCTTTCATTTGTTTATTTTCCAGACTGAGACATAGCAGGGTGGTGTTTTTTTTAATCTGAACGGCAGCCCCACAGACAGCTATCCTGTGAGCAGCATACAGAATCCAGAGACTAAAGAGAGGGGAAATGATCATAAAATGATGTGCTATTTCTTTATGTGTGTTTGGGGAGGTGAAAGGGAGTCTTGTTGCTATTCTCCACAATGCATGAACTCTCTTGTGCTTGAGGATTACAAAATAAGTAAGTAAATGTTTAAATTGTTCACAAAATGGAAGAGATGGGGTTGCATTGCTTATCATTGGGTAGCTGCTTGTGCCATTCTGTTGAAGTCTCCCTACCCAACCCCACATGGGAGTCTGGATACCCATATTCTGCTATTTGATGTTCAGGAGGAAGGGGAGTTTATCCAAAGCAATATATTGACTGCAGTATATTAGTCCAGGATTCTCATCACAGACATACCACTTTAACCAAGATAGTGGTGAAAATGCTTCTCATGCAAATGCAAGGATTTTATTGGCAGATAAGATAGCCATTTATGCTGTCAACCTAACTATACACTTGGAATTGCAGAAATAGAGGGGAGGGGAGAAAGGATCCTAGATGTAGGCAGAGTTTCAGATCCCCAGGAAGTCAATACAGATAGAAGGGGTGGAGACAACAGCAAAAGGTAAGAGCAATACTTTTAAAAAGAAAGCTCCCTGGTGCAGACTGATCCCACCTTATCAGTTAATTGAAGGCTGGTGTCCAGAAAATAATGTAAGATAAGGTTGTTTGCCAGAATTCCCTAGATCCCAGGCCAGTTCACACATTATGGCAACTATCTGGGTTGGAACTCAGTTGCATCAACAGCAGTCTGTGTGGAAACACAGTGACACATAAATAATTGATTTCCAATCGTACAACTGAATGATTGAAATTCCTCCTTAACTTGCACAGCAGTAGGTCTGAATTAGAGTGTGGCATCATCAGTTCAACTTAAGGACTAGATATAGCTTGAGGAGTTCTAAAAATCTTATTGGCCAGCTATGAAGTTTTACACACACATTTAAGAAGGCAGGCAGAGGAGATAACAGCAATTCAACAGGGCCATTTTTGCTCCCTGCTCCGGATGCTGATGACATTCAATCTGAATATGCTGTTATCTGCATTAGCTTGTGGCTCAACTGGCACTGAGAAAACTTGAAAGCCTCTGCAGAGAGATCCATACTTCATTTTTTGTTTTCTGGAGATGTTGGCAAGGGACACGACTGCAACACACTCCAACAAAACCACAGCCTTGTTTCATTAGGATTACAGTACTGCTTTTGGACTCTTTATCACATATAGGACATGCTGAGCCATCAAAAACAAAAAAGCAAACAAACTACATCACACAATAGGAGAAATTGCATTCCTTTGTGGGGAGACACAGTCATCACCAAGAACTAAGACTTTTAAGGGACAGCTGAACCACAGAGCTGAACTGGGGTAGTTAAGCCCTCTTTTGTGGTAACGGCAGGGGGATAGAAACTGTCTAAGATCATTGTCACAACCTAATTGAACTATATTTCCTAAGATTCTTCAGTGCAGTGGGGAGAAAGCTTTTTAACCACAAGGGCAATAGGTGGCAGAGCAAAGGACCAGAACCTGGGATGGGCAGAACCAGCTTTGCCTTTACTCAGGGCTTTTTTTCAGCCAGAACTCAGATGGGTCCCATTGCCATTCTAAGAACAAGGGAGGTGTTTGTGGCAAGTTCAAGCACCTTTTTCTAGGAAAACAGCCCTGCCTTTACTCCATCTCACTCTTAAACACAAACATACACCTCTCTTTAACCCTGTCCCCTTGATCACCTTGAGACTGCAGGAAAGGTGAATGGCTGGCTGATCAGCAGCAAAATTGGATGGGGCCCTCAGGGGCTTGGCAGGTCACCCAGAGAGTGTCTAAGTGCCCACTCACATGTATTTTAGAGGAAGCAATGACAGTTAAAAGTGTTTTATTGGTTGAAAGTGTAAATATGCCATTAGAAAAGGTCTATATTTTAAGCCGATATATGTTATAATAGTGCAGTTGCTGTGGATGAAACTGATCTGTGCAGGTACTTTGCCCTATCATTTCCTGCACTGTTATGGCAGCTGCACCATGGAATGGTGCCTGCCAAATCCATGTGCAAGCAGCTACCACCATACTATGGTAAGGGTCTAACTTTGAGTTGCTGGGAAAACAGTATGCAGCCATATCTTTCTGTTTGTTAACTCAGTTTCAGAATCATGCAACAATTCCTTATCTTTCTACAGGTCTTCAACTGCTCAGAGCCCACCTAAGGGGACTCGTTAACAGCCATATTATTTTAAGGCTTTGGAGGTGAAAATATTAAACTGCTAGGCAAAGGATTTCAATGAGATTTGCACTTGACTTTAGATAATGCAATAAGCACAGGCTAGCAAGTGACTTCAGAAACCTCAGCTACACCCCCTCATAGCTAAAACATGCTGAAAATGTATCCCACTGTGACTATTATAATGAGACAATAAACTAACATCTAAACCCACATATTTATGATTTAAGTCATAAAGGGGGTGACATCACTACGCAATCAAAGCTCTGCTTTGTGCATCTTGCACATTAAAGCTTCTTTCTTTCTTCTTTTTTAAAAAGGCTCCTGCTGCAACAGTTCCAAGAAATAGCACCTCTGCTTTTATTGAGGCAAATGAGAGTGTAAGCATTGCATAAAATGAATGAAAACTTTGGAAACATCACCAATGAAGAAGCAGTAGAAGTATTAATGCCTTGTGCTTCCTGTCCCTGGAATGTATGAAACACAATCCGTGCATCTCTTTCACCCAGGAAATGCTCAAGTTATGATGTTTAATTCTATGTAATGAACACACCCAGCTGACAAATGTCAAAGGGGGACTGCTGCATTTGCAGGTTCTGCAAAAGATTCAGACACTTCTAATAAGGCTCAGTTTTGAAGCCAAATTTGCAAATGTCAAGCAGCTGAAGCTTTGCCCATTACAGACTCTACTTTCCAAAGGGTTGCTATTATTTGTTGTTGGTTTTTTTTGGGGGGGGTGTAAAGCCATCCAAAGTTGAACATGGGTCTTTCTGAAATTTGTTCACTTAAGATGAGAAAAGTAAGGCAGAAGAAGAACGAAGGAGAAAAAGAGTGTTGTCAGATTAAACCCCTACAGATATTAAAGCCCTGGTTATAGATTTGTTTTGCTGTGCTATTTTTAAGCCTTCTGTGCTGCAACAGGAAGCTATCATTAAAGTTTCCCTTTGCAGAGTGCTTTCACAGCAAAATATTATAGCATTTCCCAAATTACACTCATTTGGTTTCCTTACAGTGGTGGAAAAAGGGAGACCACAAACACACACACACACACACACACACACACACACACAAATGCACACACACACACAGTTTATGAATTAAGCTGGCACTCCTTTGAGCATGGGTCCGCTTGTAACCCCAAAAGCAATTTGCGACAGTCTTCAGCTGAGGCTAACCGTAGAAAAAATTACAATATCAAATGTATGCAAGTCGGCATTTATGGGAAACAGCAATGAAATGTTATCATTCAGAAGAATGACTAGTGTTGTATCCAGCTGACCAAGGAGGGTTTAAAAGGGGTCCAAGTAAGATAGTATACAATTCAGTTTTTAGAAAAACCTAAAGTGGACAATATGTGGTCTCTTAAGTTTTGTGAGCCATTTCTTGTTTGATATTTTGGTGTGAAGGCAAAAGAGATCACTTCTTTCAAATGAAATAAGTTAGTGGACCATCACAATCAATATTCTCTCCCATGTGATATTTCTTGCACCTGTTTTTATTTCAAGACAGTGCGCAAACCATTGCAAGCGAGGTCAGTTTCCTCACTTCAATTAATGTTAAAGTCCAACCATCCTTTGTGTTAGAAAGATCTCTGGTTGTTTGAAGACACAAACACGCACAACTATGCCACCTACAGATTAGAAGAAGAAGAGGAGTTTTGATTTGATATCCCGCTTTATCACTACCCGAAGGAGTCTCAAAGCGGCTAACATTCTCCTTTCCCTTCCTCCCCCACAACAAACACTATGTGAGGTGAGTGGGGCTGAGAGACTTCAAAGAAGTGTGACTGGCCCAAGGTCACCCAGCAGCTGTATGTGGAGGAGCGGAGATGCGAACCCGGTTCCCCAGATTATGAGACTACCACTCTTAACCACTACACCATGCTGGCTCTCTGGATTACTTACTCTGACACACTACCACTGTATAATACCTTTGAAACCTACAAGATTACTACTCCCTCCAGACAGTGTTCCAGGGATTGTGCCAAAGTTAGCCAAGTTCAATTTTTCTCCTTCTTAAATCTGCATGTCTGAGATGGGGTGCATTCACAAAACAGCTGCCATGTGGCTTCTGCAAGTTGGTCCCTGTGGCAGCTGCTTCAACACAGCTTCTTATGCAGGGATCAAGCAATTTCTCATTGAACAAGATTAACAACTTTTGAGCCTTCCAGAAACATGGAGGAAGATCTATCAATTTGTGGTTGCTTGAGACAAATGGCTTGGTGGTGGTTTTCTCCATGCAAGAGAAGCAAGTAAAAACAGCCCTTTCCTGACGGATGTTTTACCAGCAAAGGTAACTTTGAGAAAAACACCTTGCATAGTATTCAGCTAAGTTTTACTGAGAGTAGACCCATTGAAATTAATTGGCAAAACTTTGTCAGGTTCATTTATTTCAATGGTTCTACTCTTGAGTAAAACTTGGTTGAAACTCCTTGTGTTTCCACATATCTGAACTGAATGGCAAATGAAAATAGTTATCTACAAGCTCAAGGGATGGATGTTTTCTGTTTCTTTCCTTTTCTCATTTTTTTTTTCAATTTTAAAAACTACACAAGTGTTCATATGCAGTTTTGTACACATTTCTTCTAACACATATTTTTGTGTGCATTTTTATTGGATATCCACATATGAAAAATGAGAGGACAGTTGTGTTCCCAATTTGCATACTTACTTGTGAAGTGTGGATTAGAATTGCATTAGAAAGGAAGCAAATGACTCTCTCCCCTCTCCCCTGATCTGATCCATGATCATCAGATGGATCCTCCTATGGATGAGGAGGCTGATCTGGCATGTATCACTGAAACTTGAGGGGGTGGAAACAGGGTGGAATCAATCTCACCCAGTTGTGCCCACCTGGGTAGTCAGTGCAGCATCAGGCCAGACTTGAGGGTTGGGGAGGGGGAGTTGCTGTGGTCTATAGAGATACTCTCTTTCCAGGCTCTCTGTCCAGTTGGGGGGCAGGAATCTAGAGTGTGTGTTCCTGGCACTGGGCAACTGGGGCAGATTAGGGATTCTGAAGGTTTACCTCCCACCTTGCTGCCCAGCAGTCTGCCTGGCTGAGCTGACAGAGCTGGTCTCGGAGGTGGCTCCCCACCTGTTGAATGCTCTCCCCAGGGTAGTTCGCCTGCCGCCTTCATTATACACCTTTACGTGCTAGGCAGAAACGTTCCTTTTTAACCAGGCCTTTGGTTGATTTGATTGACATCCTATGCCCTTTTAAAATGTGGTTTTTTGGGGGAGGGGTTATTGGGTTGCTTTTATTTTGATTATATATTTTGTGGTTTTATATTTTGTTTTGGGAACTGCCCTGAGGCCTCTGGGTATAGGGCAGTATATAAATTCTAATACAGTGGTACCTCAGGTTAAGAACTTAATTCGTTCTGGAGGTTCGTTCTTAACCTGAAACTGTTCTTAACCTGAGGTACCACTTTATCTAGTGGGGCCTGCTGCCGCCGCCGCACAATTTCTGTTCTCATCCTGAAGCAAAGTTCTACTGAGGTACTATTTCTGGGTTAGTGGAGTCTGTAACCTGAAGCATCTGTAACCCGGGGTACCACTATAATTATAATATCTGTACAAGATACACCTTTCAGTTTCTTGAGACTGAGGTGAGATGCAAGTAGAATTGTCACACAATTTCCAGTGACTCAGTCGCCTTCTGTGACACAGGAAGGGCCACAGCTCAGTGACAGAGCATCAGCGTTGCATGCAGAAGATCCCAGGTTCAATCCCTGAAATCCCTAGTAGGGCTAGGATAGAACCCTGCCTGAAATCCTGCCTGAAATCCTGGAAAGCTGCTACCAGTCAGTGTAGACAACACTGAGGTAGATGGTACATGGTCTGCTCAGCATAGGATGCCTTATTACGTTCCTAAGAGCTGAGGCAGGGAAAGCTATCCCAAACGTTTAATTTGTGTCTCTCTGTGTATCAGCTGTGGGACATCACTGTGTGACCTGATCCAACTTTGAAACACTGGGAGCAGAGGCATGCAGTCTGGGGAATTATCTAATTAAGGCTCCTAAGCAACATCCAATAGCTCAAAATCTTCCAAACCACGGAAGAATTCTCCATAAAAATACTTTCCCTTCAGTCAGCAGTCTCTTTCACGCCATCTCCCTTTGCCTCCTCTGAACCCCCTTGGTCAAATAACCTCTGTCAAGACAAAGTCACTCCATGCCTGAGAACTGAGATAATCTAATAATGTTAAGGTTTTAGAGCATTTTCACATAAGACAAATCCCCACTAACAGTCTCTCACAACCTGGTGCCTTCCAAATGTCTTGAACTACAACTCCAATCAGCTTGGTAGGCCAAAATGTCTGGAGGCACCAGGTTTGGGAAGCCTTGTTTACTACCAGTTCTTACGACAACTGGCGCTCCAAATGATAGTAAATCAGTAACTTCAAGCCTGAAAAATGAGCAGTCTCTGTGATGGCCACCTTCCCAAGGGATAGTGTAAGACCCAAGGAGTGGCCTACAAATTTCACGATTCTCAGAAAGAATTAAGGAGATTTCGCCACATCCCTAGGCCTCACTCTCCTTTCTTTATGTGCAGCCCCGCTCTGGCAAATGAACAGGGCAGCGTTCTTCCCAACAGGCTGTAAATCAGGAGCATCAGATGTTCCCAGGAAGGTTTACAGTTTTTGCAAATGTTTCCAGTAAGAAGTGGCTTAGAGACAGGAAAGGCAAAAGTCATAACAAGGATCTCTCTTCTGTGTAGGAAACAGTATGTTCCCCTACATGTGTGCTATACCATATGAAGAGTACACAACTACTTTCACATGCACGAAATGCCCAGCTTGGTGTTATCGTCCCATTGCATTTATATTCAGCAGAACCACCGACACATGCCGTGACAGCCTCCTGTGTCATTTGGTATAAGTATACTGCTGTTCTGGTAGTCTGCAACAGGAAGCATGTAGCATTATTTGCAGTGCTCAGGTTCTGCCCCCACCCTGCTTCATGGGAAGCTTTTGATATTTGATGTTTCATTGTATTTTTACATTCTGTTGGAAGCTGCCAGTCAGATGAGAAGGGTACTAATAAATATTATTACTATTACTATTATTACTACTATGCTACATACCGGTCAATGGATCAGGGTTGGCTACCAACTCTGAGCTCTGCAGTGGGGGCAGGAGTGAGGGTGGGACATGGCATGGGGGGGGGGAGGAAGAATTAAATTTCATGATTTAACTTCATCCACCAACCTAATCCTCAACCTTCAAGATACTATTAAGGGCTACAGTCAACATCCTCTTTAAACAGATTTCTAAAACATTCCTTTGCACAACCATTCTCAACTATAAACTTAATTTCTTGGCTCACACTATCAGCCTACTTAACTTTAGGTTTTAGGTACATTCCCTCCCCTCCCCATGGTCACAAGAACTACCCACAGAAAATAATTAAGAATGAAAGAGCCATATTTACATCAAATGCAAAAACTGGTCAAATTGGCCTTTTCCTGCTTTCCCTTTTTCGGTCACCTTAAGGACCTTCAGAAGTGATGCACAAGAGTTGCTTGTGAAAGCATACAGTGTCTGCAGAGGTGATTTTTGCTATTGGCTCCCATTTGAACATGCTCAGCAGGTAGCACACCTAAATGCCATCTAATTTTGCTGCAAGCAGGCTTGTTTCTACCGCAGAGAAGACAAGACCCAATAAAATGCAATACACCCGCCAGCAATCTGTAGCAATGTTGAATGGCAAGAGAAGCAGCAGCAGCCACCAGCATGTACATCCTTCAAGGGACCACGTCCCAGAAGTTATTCACCTCGACTCTGCTGCCTGTTGACCATCCCTCCCAGTGTCCATCGCCGGTCCAGGCGTCTCAGGTGTGCCTTGCGTCTCTTAGAAACTATTTTGGAAAATGGATGAGAACATAAAAAAGGAAAGAAAGAAAAATAAAATGTGATGGGTGGGTGGGTGGTGTGGGAACCAAACTCAACGTAAAACATGGTAACAATAAGGACTAGTCTTGTGTTAGCGAGGATGAGATGTAATAATACATTAGGATTAGTTTACAAGAAGTGATAAAATAAGAAACTACCTGAGGCCCAGGCACAAACAGGCTTTCTCATGGTTCTTCGTTTAGTGGACATAAAATCATACTAAATAACAACAGTAATGGGTTGTATGTATCCAGAATTTTGGGAAGTCTTAAGAAATAGACATCAATAATATCACAGCACCTTTGCTTAGAATGCAGGATGCATTTTTGGAGCATTTTTTTATGACATCTTTGTGGCATAGGAACATTTGCAGCGGTTCTGAACCTGTGGGTCCCCAGATGTTGTTAGACTACAACTCCCATCATCCCGGAGCTCTGGCCTTTCTAGCTAGGGGTGATGGGAGTTGAAGTTCAATAACATCTGGGGACCCACAGGTTGAGAAAGGCTGATTCAGAGGCTTTGCCAAAGTTGGAGCCTGTTCCTTAGATGACTCTGCATGAGCAGAGGGGAGGTACAAATCTGCACCATGCAGGATGGAACCTTTAAAGAGGCCTCTACAATCCGATGAACACCAATTACACCATTGGTTTGCTCCCATCAGCCCCAGCTAGCATAGCATAAAGGATATCCAAAAACATCAGTAGTGCAGTGAGTTCCCCATGTCTGTCCTGTGTAAAGATGCTACAAGTGCACCCCAACTGTATCTCCCGTTTGTGGATATGAATTTTTCCTCTGCACGAAGGCTGAAAGGAGTCTTAATGTCACGCACAACTCTGTTTTGGGACAGCATTCTCTGTGCAGTTATTTATGAGTTGGATAAAGATGTACATACAATGGAACATGACAAAAAGTTAACACTAAAAGGGGAACAAATACTATGATGGGAGAGGATAGACTTGGTCAGCACTAAGCAAAATAGGGCAGTTAATGGCAACACCTTTTGCTGTACGCAGATTCTGATAGCATCTTAGACAAAAAGACTTGCAAACTGGGACAAAACCAGAATAATATCAACTATATAATATACTATTCGCATACATCAGGAAAAATATATATTATGAAAACAATTTCATAAATTATATAAACTCCTCTCCCCCACTGTGGTCTATGAAAGATTCAAGATAAGCTGAAAAAAACAACTCAAATAGCTGTGTTAAATCTCTTATGGAAGAACATGGGTGCATTATTATATACAAACCACACGTGTCTAGACCACAATTTCTAGAAATCCAGCATCATTATAAACACAAAAGAATCAGCATTTTTAGAAAATATTTTATTATGCTTTAGAATAATGCCACAACCCATACAAGTGTTACTTCTATGATATGCTGTAAGGCGTCCAGAGTGGCTGGAGAAACCCAACCAGATGGGTGGGTTATAAATAAATAAATAACTAAATCTATAACCTCTTTTCCTACCAAATCAAAGTAGCCTAGGAAGGCATTTATTCTTCCCCTCAAATGGCATAAATAACTGTCAATAGGTAACCTACTAGCCTTTGTGCTGGTCTTTGAGATAGCTATGCTTATTCCTATAGGGTAAAGGTGGGTTTTAATTATAATTCCTCACGCAGATCAATTACAGCTGTTTCTTACCTTCCCCTCCTTTGGACATGTTAATTTCAGAATCATCTCTAATTCCACTTTGGGATTCCAGGTAAGTGGCAGGGACCCAGCCCTGCTCTTCCGAGGTACTTACAAACCACCAACCTGTGAGGGTAAGGAAAGAATAAGAGTTAATTCACTGCAGAATCACTGTCCCCTAACAATTTCAAATTCTTCAAAACCAGTGTGTTATTCATCCTGGTTATAATGCTAGCACTATATTATAATGCACCCGTTTCTAAAGTTCCTTTTACACTGTATTCCTTTTACTGTATCATTATGGAATCGTGGCTTTTTGATCAATATAACACTATGTCCTGCTAAATTTCATTCACACTGCTGCATGTGGTGTGATATAATAGTGGACATGAATGTTTCTGTTCCCCGGTCATTTGCCCATGATAACGGAGGAAAAGAACTGTATGCTGGAATTCCACCCAAATTTTGTCACATGGCGTGATCCATGAAAACTACAGGAAAATTACAGCACAAAACTCCTGCATTTACCTGGGTTAATGGGATTGGAAAATTGTTTTTTTTCCCCTGGAAGCAATTAACGCAGAAATGAGTGCTAAACTTATGCTAGATTTCCAGAAGTGTGAACGAGCATGTAAATGATCAGGGAAGGAAACACCAGGAAAACAGAGTAAAGTGTTGTCTGAATGCCATTTAAGAGTTGTACTCCTGTTCAAGACTCCAACTACCCTGGAATAAGAACCTCCATAGCAGGATGGGGAGCACAGCAGGACTAACAGAGGTGTATATGGTGGTGGGGAAGAAATTAAAATGTCATTTTCTGTCTTCCTCCTGTCCTGCCCAAGGCTTCCCTTGCTGTGCTATCCAGCATTAAAGGGTTCAGAGTTGGGGCTCGATGCCAAACATTTTATAAGTATACAGCAGGAGGGGATGAGTCTGGAAAGGGGGGAAGGGAAACTTTTTGCTCGCCTTTTCCATGAAGTAGGAACTGCAAGAACTGCAATTTTTGTATAGAAGTTGGCATATTGCTGGTGGAAATAAAATCACCTACTTGCCAATGTAGGCACAAAAATGTTCTGTATTCCTGGTAAAAAATCAGACAGGTTGCACAAATTTCCTTTATTAAAATGACTCCACACACTTTGAATAGCTTTTGTAGCCCCACATAATTGTGTCCAAATGCAGTGGAACTCCCCTGGACTATTCAATTAGAAGTGAGAGTGGAAATTCAAATACTAAAGTTGCAATTAGAATTGGTTTCTTTTCACAGTGCTGCCAAAACACATTAGCCCTAACACACTGTGGGTCACACCATAACTAAGGTTCTGCTGCTGCAAGTGTCTGTGGGCAAATTTCCACTAACAGGATGCTGCTTCCAGTGGAAGTTTTTGCTTCTCTCCCCTTCTCCCTGCAGTGCTTATGGTTAGCATGAGGGGCAGGGCAGCCGGGAGGAGCAGATCTCCACTGGATTCCAGTTCCCCCTGTAAATGAAAATAGCCCTTCTGATCATGGGTAACTAGTTAGGATCTAAGCCAATAAAGAACCGCAAAGGACAGAGAATATTACCCAGACATAGCCAAGGCTGTGCACTTTGCTTTCACTTTTAAATAAAAACAAAATGCCTGTGTGAATTCTACTTCATAATATGCTCCCTTTTGGATGGAAATTAACACTCTGCAAAGTTGGACAATTCCTTTCCTATTGGTAATCTTTAGCATATGGGTGATGTTAAACAGAACAATTAATGAACTTGTAAATATATATATTCTCACTGAGGCAAGCAAAGACACTTGCTTAAAACATAACCTTTTAAATGAAGTGGTTAATGGTCCTTCACAAAGCCCAAGTGTTAAGTGCAAATTAGATGCTTTTACTATTGCCTACTTCTCTCTGCCTCTCCCAAGGCACAGAGGCTGAGAAGAGTCAGCTGAAGTTTGCAAGAGTGAGAGATGGGGGGAGGATAAGTTGGAGCAAGACCTGAGCCTTCTACCCATACCCTTGGTTTATGAACTAGATAAAATGTTGGTTTTGAAGCATTGAAAGATGCCTTTAAAGAGAGGGTGGGGAAAATAGCTCTTGGTTTTTGGAGCTGGGCAACCAAAATGAGGGAAGTAGAGAGGGAAAACCAGAAGCAGGTGTGTGTGTGTGTGTGTGTGTGTGTGTGCGCGCGCGCGCGCAGCATGGGCCAGAGCATTTATACCAAACTCCCAGGGCTAAACACCAACCCAGGTACCCTGCTTTGAATTTAAAATATGCATGGAGATAGGAGACTGCAGTTGTACAGTGGAGAAAGAAGAGCACTCTGTACATGCTCACTCCCCACATATTCCAGGACTAGTAAAACAAGACTCAAGATGAACCCTGTAGTCTTGACACGAGTTAACTTGGATAAGGGAAACAGGCAAAAACAGTTGCTTATCGCTACAGCGACAGTGTTGCTGAAAGGAAAGTGAGAATGGGGAAAGTAAATCGTTTTGTAAGGGAAACGTACTATATCCACCACTTGTAGTTTGCTGGCAAAGAAGTGGGGCCCCATTGGATACAGTAGGGCAAACATATATAGGATTTAATTGAAAGCTTGTGGAGGAAGACGAGAGGTTGTAGCTGTTGGAAGTGGCAAGCAAAAAAGCACCCTGCATTTGAATCATAGAATCATAGAGTTGGAATAGACCACAAGGGCCATCGAGTCCAACCCCCTGCCAAGCAGGAAACACCATCAGAGCACTCCTGACATATGGTTGTCAAGCCTCTGCTTAAAGACCTCCAAAGAAGGAGACTCCACCACACTCCTTGGCAGCAAATTCCACTGTCGAACAGCTCTTACTGTCAGGAAGTTCTTCCTAATGTTTAGGTGGAATCTTCTTTCTTGTAGTTTGGATCCATTGCTCCGTGCCCGCTTCTCTGGAGCAGCAGAAAACAACCTTTCTCCCTCCTCTATATGACATCCTTTTATATATTTGAACATGGCTATCATATCACCCCTTAACCTCCTCTTCTCCAGGCTAAACATGCCCAGCTCCCTTAGCCATTCCTCATAAGGCATCGTTTCCAGGCCTTTGACCATTTTGGTTGCCCTCCTCCGGACACGTTCCAGTTTGTCAGTGTCCTTCTTGAACTGTGGTGCCCAGAACTGGACACAGTACTCCAGGTGAGGTCTGACCAGAGCAGAATACAGTGGCACTATTACTTCCCTTGATCTAGATGCTATACTCCTATTGATGCAGCCCAGAATTGCATTGGCTTTTTTAGCTGCCGCGTCACACTGTTGGCTCATGTCAAGTTTGTGGTCAACCAAGACTCCTAGATCCTTTTCACATGTACTGCTCTTAAGCCAGGTGTCACCCATCTTGTATTTGTGCCTCTCTCTTTTTTTGCCCAAGTGCAATACTTTACATTTCTCCCTGTTAAAGTTCATCTTGTTTGTTTTGGCCCAGTTCTCTAATCTGTCAAGGTCGTTTTGAAGTGTGATCCTGTCCTCTGGGGTGTTAGCCACCCCTCCCAGTTTGGTGTCATCTGCAAATTTGATCAGGATGCCCTTGATCTTGATTTACTCAGAGGAAAACTGCTATTTCAGCATAAGAATTCTCTGGCATGGATTCACCAGCTGATATTTGATATTGCTCTGGTTCAGCATTCCTCAGGCATAAATGTGGACCAGAGCCTACTGCATGGCATAAAATATAGCGCATTAGTGAGTATGCCTTGTAATCTATGGTTTGTCTCACTGCTTTAGTTATCTAGTTATCTTCTTACATGAACCTTTAATTCCCATTTTCCTCTTGCATTTCATTTGAATCTCAATTGTGATGGCCCCACCAGTTTTCAACAGGGCACAATACTGGGCTTCCCAAATTTGCCCCAACCATGCACAGGAGGGTCCCCCATTTTACTGTGCAAATAATAGGAGGATAACATTCAAAGCTCATACTCTATAATCTAATTCTGCATGTGAAAGCGCTCTACTCCAAAAGTGAAGGCATGCATACATATCAAAGTTAAATACTCTTAAAAGAATCCAAGCCAATTCTAACAAAAGACATTGCTAAATGGTCAAATGAGAAGGAATGAGAAGGAACCTCTCTCCTGTTCCCCTAAATGTTCCAGAAGGGAATCAAAAATAAAAACAGAGCAGCACCGAAGACACCAGAGCCATTACTAGCATCATTTCATCAAGAGGCAGAGATTTCCATTTCCAAGAGAGATTTGGAAAACTTTGCTTCACAGTATTCCTGGTCAGGGAATTTAGTTACACTTTTACACAGCAAGAGGGAGATTCTCCCAACATGACGTTTACCCACAGCAGCCAGCTGCCGTAAATAATAATATTATTTAAAAAGACCTATCATTTCAAAAAGGCCTACTGCTGAAAATGAGGAATAGTTAATGGCATGGCAGGATAGGAGGCATGTTAGAGTTGAACATGCAATTGTAATTATGACGCAGAAGTAAACAGACCAGAAGCTGATACACATCTGATCCTAATTAGATGGAAATGGTCCTATGAATTCTTCTTCAGAAGCAAACATTAGCCTGAGTGAAAAGAGCTGCACTATAAAGTTAACACTCTAGTAAAAACCATGACCTTTGAAGCATTTCATTTCACCCTGAACTTTGGTTTTGTGCCCTACTATTTCACAAAGCAGAAAAGTTGGAAAAGACCTAAATACTATTTTCAACTCTGCATATAGCTTAAAACAGTCGAGCCAAACCAAGCCATTCCATACCCAAGTACAGCAGGGGGTTCTTGAACTTTCTACCCCCAGGGCCAACTTAAAAAGTCTGAGAATTACTGAGGCCCACTAGTCACAAAATGGTGGTACATGGAAGCAGAGTTTAGCATAACCAGCAGGCAAGTACTGTCATTTCCTACAGATATCTAATCCATTTTTGGAAATTGCTAAATACTTTGCCAAAGTGCTTGCATTGTGGCAAGGAGTTCCATACCTCAGGTTTCCTCAAGCTATGGTGAGTACAGATATTTGCTTTGGAGGTATGTTGACTCAGCCTTCCTATTTTAGGCAGGATTTGCTGATCCAGAAGCTCTAAGTGGAGAAGTCTTTGCCTTTCATATTTTTCTTTCCTAACCTCACATACTTCTCAAAGTATCGTTACCCATCTCCTGTAATTTC